TGACGTAATTAGGGGTGGGTGGGTGCAGGGAGGGGCGAGTTTTCCCCCTCCCTCCTCCGCGAAGCGCGGAGGCTTTGACATTTCAATAAATTATTAGAGAAAGAAGACGATTCGTTGTACCATTCCCAAAAATAATCCTCGTCTGAATTATGTTTCTCCCTATCCCGCGAGAAGCGCGAAAGCTTTTACGTTTCATTAAATCATTAGAGAAAAAAGACGATTCGTTGTACCGTTCTCGACTCTTAATCCTTGTCTAAATTCAGTTTCCCCCTCCCCACCCCCTACCGCGCGAAGCGCGGAAGCTTCGACGTTTCATTAAATTATTAGAAATCTGAAATGTTATCTTTACTGAGTGTGACTTGAAAAAAGTTAATAACTTGGAAGGGAGTGGGTGCAACCTGACACAGGCTTCTACCTCTTTGTTGCTTTGATCCATTGCCGAAAATATTTTGGCACCTTTCATCCCCCCCCCCCCCCCCCCCCCCCCCCCCCCCCCAACCACGGATACAAATCGACACCGTTGTAGATCACCAACCATTTATTCGCGCGGATCTCGGTGGAGCTAAATTGAACTCCTTGCTCCACTTCCAAGTGTGCACCACGTTTGTGTTACAGTGTGTACATCATACATAGACTTTCAAAGCCATCGAAATAAGTATTTGTTTTGCCTAGACTGTAGATTTGGAAATTTGTCATTTTCCAACAAACGCATACAAATGATTAATTTACTAAAAAGTGAGGATAAATCCCGAAAAATTATGTAATTTCACTGGTATCGAATTAAAAATAAACCACGTTTGAATTTTATTCGGGGGAAACTGCCCCAAGCCCCCCCCCCCCCCCCCACCCAGCCATCAGTACGCTAGTCGTGACCAGTGGCGTATCTGGCGCTTGGTCTCGTTTGGAGGGGGGGGGGGGGGGCTGAGAGGGGCGCAAAAGTATTTCCCACGCTTATCATATATCGAAACATAACACACACATCTTGTTTAGAACGTGGGATCGGAAGAGGAAGACTTTCACCAGGCTTTCACTCGATCCCACCGGAACAACTTTCTGAGATTTTTAAGTCCAGCATTATAATGGCTAAAGTTTCTAAATTCAGACGCGGATCCAGGATTTCTTAGGGTGAGGAGGTCCAAATTTGAAATTATGCGATCCAAATACTGGTACGTAATGGTGACCAGCAGTGACGTAATTAGGGGTGGGTGGGTGCAGGGAGGGGCGAGTTTTCCCCCTCCCTCCTCCGCGAAGCGCGGAGGCTTTGACATTTCAATAAATTATTAGAGAAAGAAGACGATTCGTTGTACCATTCCCAAAAATAATCCTCGTCTGAATTATGTTTCTCCCTATCCCGCGAGAAGCGCGAAAGCTTTTACGTTTCATTAAATCATTAGAGAAAAAAGACGATTCGTTGTACCGTTCTCGACTCTTAATCCTTGTCTAAATTCAGTTTCCCCCTCCCCACCCCCTACCGCGCGAAGCGCGGAAGCTTCGACGTTTCATTAAATTATTAGAGAAAGAAGACGATTCGTTGTGTCGTTATCGACTCTTAATCTTCGTCTAAATTCAGTTTTCCCCAAGCTTTTACGTTTCATTTAATCATTAGAGAAAGAAGACGATTCGTTGTACCGTTCTCGACTCTTAATCCTTGTCTAAATTCGTTCCCCCCCCCCCCTCACCCCCCCCCCCCTGACTCCCGCGCGAAGCGCGGAAGCTTCGACGTTTCATTAAAATATTAGAGAAAGAAGACGATTCGTTGTACCGTTATGACTTTTAATCCTCGTCTAATTTCAGTTTCCCCCCCCCCTCCCGCGCGAAGCGCGGAAGCTTTTACGTTTCATTAAATCATTAGAGAAAGTCAAGTTTATCTTTAATGATAATAATGTTTTGTTATTCTTTAGTGCATTTCAGGGCAATGGGCTATCTCAGTGCACTATACAACAACATTTACTTCTTTCTCAAGGGAGACAAAATGCATGGCCACTAGGCCTAAAAAAAAAAGATTTTGTATTCCCCTTTACGACTGACCCAAACATCTTAAAATCTATGGTCGGCTTTTTACAAAAAAAAATTTTCACTGATTGTTAGAGGAAAAAATATTAAAGCATTCAAACTGCAAAATATCAGCCCAAAGACGGAGAAAAAAAAGAAGTACATTTCTGACAGACCAACTCATGTTTTGGCACCTAAAGGGCAATACAACATCTTCTTTTTTAGGGACTAATAAACAGGTGGTCTTTATAGAGTGGTACCGTAGCCACTATTAATGACAGGAGTTTGAGTGTACCATCATAATGATTATTATTCTTGTCATTGTTATCATCTTTACCTGAAGAGCGCTAACATGAAAAAGTTGGCTTTACACTGTTAAGCCTACGTATCTCCGAAATTATAGTAACGTATGTTACACTCCTTAAAAGTACTTTTCTCTTGAAAAAATGTGATTTTGTGATAAGGAAATTGTATTTCTATGGATGCATTAATTTTTTGGTGCAGCATTATTTATGTTCATAGAAGTCTAAAAGTATGTTAATTGCAAATTCAACATAAATGGAAAGTATACTAAGCACTATTGAAAAAACGGTAACGTATGTTTCATAGTTTTGGAGACACAATTCTATTGGTGATGACTCTGTGAATCGGGAAGATTTCCCTTAAAAAGTGCTCACATATTGTTGGATGCTTCATTCCCTCATAAGAAATGCGCTTAAGAGATACTTGCATCTTTTTGTTTTGACACAAGATCAATTTAAAGTGTGAAATATATCTGGGCGACAGGCTTTTTTTTACTCTTCCGTCTTATTCATTCGGCGATATCTTGTCTACAGGATTTCCATTACCATAAATTAAAGTCGCTCTTAACCAGGAAGTGTCACAGAATAAAAAAATATGACAAACTCGACTTAGCAATATCTAGTCGGCCCTGAAAGAATGTAAAAACACAAGAGACACGTTATTTGATGAATTGCGCCGAAATAGTGGGCCTGACCCAAAAAAGGGAAAAGATTTCTAGTCTACTTGGATTTAAATCTCTCTAATGATGTTTTACTTCTGAGCGGCAATTTCATTCATAGAAACGGCCAAAATCCGACTCTCGACAAAGCGATATCAGCCCCCCCCCCCCTGATTTGGTTCAGACGGGGGAGTACCGCTCAAGCCTCGGAACCCCTACTTATTTTTAAGGGTCATTTGGGGATTTTTCTCGAAGTTAAGCCCATTTTTCACAAGTTTCGAAAAAGCGGACCCATGTTTAGGGATATTTTGTTAAAAATGGGACCCATGTTTAGGAATTTTTTGTGAAAAAGTAACTCATTAGAGCGACACACTCCCGTATGTAGTATCCCCCCCCCCCCCTCCCCCGGGGGCTGTTCTAGGATCTGAAGAAATATAATGGGATCTGATCTTATACTACAGAGGCGAATATAGGGGTGGGGGTGGCGGTTTAAACACCCCCCTTAGGCGGCCAAGTGAGAAAAAAAAAGTAAAACAGTAAAACGGCGCGACAAGTTTTGGGAAAATCTTGGATCCGCCACTGGGTCATACCACCCCTTGGCAAAAAGCTAGATCCGCCCCTGTACTAGATGGGGGCGCAATTTTTTCATTCGTTTATCTGCCTTTACGATTATGCTGAATACTTCCCCTGTCAGTTCCCCTTGTCTAAATTAAGGCCTAGCTATATACAATTTCATCCCCGTATTGTGAGATTGAATTTTGCCTGGTGTATGATGTTCTCATTATTATGTCATATCACCTGTACAGATTAGAATATGAAATTTCTTTGTAATAATTTTGATGTTAGTACTATGAACAGAGGGAGAGAGAGAAAGAGAGACATAGATAGACAGACAGAGACATACAGACAGCCTGAGAGGGGGGGGGGGGGGGGGGGGGGAGGGTCGATCGATCGATCGATCGATCGAGAGAGAGAGAGAGCTAGTGTATACATACATTAGGAAGGGAATAGACGGTGGATTTGTTTTAACTCTTTTGTTGGCTACTTTTACTAATTCCATGATTGATTCGTTTTAAAAAAGAGGTATGCCCTGATAATAATGATCAATAGCTAGTTCTTATATAGCGCTTTACAGATATATATACTATTACCCCGGTCATCGGATTCAGGCTTACCCGCAAATAATCATCGAATGTCAGACTGTAAAACCCATTTGGGATGATACCATTAAAACTATTAATCAGAAGATTAATAAAGTAGTGAATTTTTCAAATTTGAAAGAATGTTTGGCTATGAAAAGGATATGTTTTTGACGTATTTATTTCTTATGCTTAAATACTACATTTATTTATGCAAATTTCAAAGTAAAATACCCAATTTTCAGGGTTTCAGAACTTTCATTGACTATAATAAAGATCTTAAATTTCGTATTGCAAGAAAGAAAAACAAACTGCCCTTGCACTTTAAAAAATGGAAGTTTGTTTTATAATGCTGTTTTATAATGTTGTATATCGGTACATGTGCATGTATTATTGTCTGCATCTTAGTGTAAATTTACTTTTCGTGAGGTTTTGATCTGACTTTTACTGGTTTTTTGTAATCTTTTTATAATAACTTTTAAATATTGTGATTGTTTTTTTATTGTTCGATAAAACACATAAAGACAAAAAAAGGGGGGGGAAAATATATATGCGCATTTTCCACTCCCTGGGAGCATTCCAGCCAGGCGTAATTTTTACAAACGCACACTTGCTAATCTAAGCACATCAGCTTTCGCATCCTAAAGGGTACCTGATTTAACACCTGGGAGGAGAGTGGCACTTGTAGATCAATGTCTTGCCAAAGGACATTAGTACCTTGTGATCCACAGTCCGGTGACATATCCACCTATCTTTCTGGTGCCCCCTACTAAAACTGAAGGTTTTAAAAAAAATGCATACAGGAAAATCCACCTTTTACAATGACAAACTGCTTTAATTATTATAATGTTTGTACCGACAGCTGGCGCTATAACTATAAACAAAATCCGGAAGTATAATGCACAATAATACTGCATGCATGCAGTGTACGGTTAAATGCAAATTACCAGCTGATGTGTGATTACGACAGAATGAGGTGCTGAATGGCGATTAAAGTAACTTGTCCGCCGTTTTCCTCCAATTTGATCAGTACAACGCTCTCAGACTGGCTAAACATGAATTTCATTGAAAGGAACATTAAAGGAAAACAACGAATTTTGTCGTAGTTAGTAAATAGTCGTACAAAACCCGGCGAAAATGCATTTCTCGCTTCCAACATCGAGAATTGTTGTGGTTGTGCCTGCAGCTGCCATTTGTATTGTGTGTGTGCTAATTGAAACGTGTACCGCAGCGAGATCACACGTTTACACAATACCATTGAGGAAAGGGAAGGAAACTAGTTTTGCTGAAACTGTTGGAGAGCCAGTACGAACTAACCAAGTAAATGTGTCGGTGGAGGAGCAGAAAAATAACATTCGAGGAAGACCCGGATTAGGATACTACATCGAAGTAGATATAGGAACACCACCTCAAAAAGTAAGCTTTAATTTTAATAAACTAATTCTAAAGAAAACATGATAATATAATGATCTGATGATTGACTCTAATTGAGCTGAGCAACAGAATTGTCATCAATTCACACTCAGTCACTCACAGCTCAGTGCAGTCATTAGTGAATTCTCGCTACCCCAAATAGCGATTCTGCCGAGATCCAGGGAAAATCCTGAAAACGCGCATTGCATTATGGGATAGCTTTTCGACATTACAGCTTCCTGTGCAGGCGGCGCGGTAGCGCAAACGTAAAACGCCGTCGCCACACAACGTGTATGCACCGAATATGTCGTCTGCTCGGTCTTGTTTTTTTTTCGCAAATATTTCAACGTTTATTTGAACATTTCATTCGTTGTTTTTTGCGTCTTTTGACATCAGTGATGATGGTTTTCTTTTGTGAGGCTGCACAGTGCTGGGCTCATGATTCCAAGCGTAAGAACCCTGAAAAATGGGGGTGGATGAAGGCCGTGACTGGGATGGGACTCTATACCGGAAGTTGTAGTGACGACCCGAGAGAGTGAAAATTACCTCGTCTCGCGAATTTCGAGATTTTCGTACCTATTTAGGGTAGCGAGAATTACAGTTGTGCTTGATTAAGTCATTGATAAAAAGCCTTTTGTCAATTTTCAATAAATCTTGCATTTTAGTTGATTCTTGATCTTTTCGGACTCCGTAATTAGTAAGACAATGTCTTGTAATATATGCCCTCCTGTCCCATAGTTCATTAATACACCACTGCAAAGAGTTTGTTCCTTAATAGAATACTAGGTCAATCGCTGACTAATATATATTTACATTTAATTAACTTTTTTTAAACATCAAGCTCTGAGACTTAGAGTCTAATTCTGAAACAATACCGATACTCTATATTGTTTGTAATAATTCATTTCATCATGATATTAGACCAACAAGTGAATTAAAAAAAATATGTCTGGTTTGATGATGTGCTTATCTTGATTTACAATTACATGTTATTTTAATTTAATTTACTGTAGTTAGCATGAACAGAGTGAGTAATCATGACATTTCAGCACCCTTACTAATAGTAATACTAGTTTATTAATTACTACCATGTTTTTGTTTGATTTTTGTTTAAAGAAAACTGTGAACAATTTGTCTTGCTTTTAATTCAGGAATGTATCATTCCAACATGTAGGGCCATACTTAAAGGCTTAATCATTCATTTATAACAATTTATATCTGTCTTTTTACTCTTTTCCAATCTTGTCTATCTTTCCATCCATCTCCTTTTCTTTCTCATCTACTGATTTCAGCTGAATGTACTAATTGATACCGGTAGCAGTAACTTTGCTGTAGCAGCTTCATCCCACAATGCAATATCAACGTATTATAGAAGAAACGAGTGAGTAAATCCCATCTTTGCACATGGCATCCATTTTACTTTTGTTGTTAGAGCTAACAAACAACTGTTCAATTGTATTCAATTCAATTCAATAACTTCATTATAGAATAGATTTGGGTCTACAATGCTGAGAATTTGTGAAGCCATTGTCTTATTATTTGTGCATGTTATATTAATTCTTGACATACACTGTACCTTTCTCTTTTCATTAGATCATTAAAACTTGCTTTCATAAATTATAACATCCTTATTGACTAATTAGGGACATAATAAATTGAGAAATTATGTGTAGCATTTTATCTTATCTTTGATCATTTAACCCCTCATGCACTCATGTAAAGTGTAGCCTACGTTATGACGTCTAAAACCTCCTTTGATGTATAGGTGGTAGAATGATCAACAATGATATCTATAAGTATAATGAAAATGATTTAAAAATATTAGTAATCATCATAAAAATGATATTCACAATGAAAATGATGATTATGATAATGAATTAATGACAAAAATAATGGTTGATATGATATTGATATGAGGAAATAGTAGTACTGTACATATGCATGTAGTTCAAGTTTGTAGTAGTAGTAATAATACTTTTGATAGTAGTAGTAGCAGCAGTATAGTAATTATAATTATGATGATAATAATGGTAATGAAAGTGATAATAATAATAATAAATATGATAATAATAATAAAATAAACAAAAATATATATGATGATGATGATGATGGAGATATGGTAAAATTTGTGAGTATGATAAAAATTGTATCGATATGAAACTTGACACAGATCATCGACGTACGAAGATCAGGGTACCTACGTGAAGGTGCCCTACACTCAGGGTGAATGGAGCGGGGATCTAGGGCAGGATCTGGTCCAGATAGCATCGTTAGGGAACCAGAGCTTTCAAGCAAACATCGCTGCTATCACAGAATCTAAGATGTTCTTCCTCAACGACTCAAGGTGGCAAGGTATTCTGGGATTGGGGTATGCAGAGATTGCAAGGGTGAGCCTTTTACTTTTTTCCTTTATTTTCTTTACCAGAAGTTTAAATTTTTTATTTTTTTTATTAGTTTCATATCAATTTGCAATGTCAATACATCAGTTTTAGGAGGCGAGTTGGCTCAGTTGGTAAAGCGTCCGTCTGTCGAACCAAAGATCCCGGGTTCGACTCCCACCCAGGCGGTTGACTGAAGCCTGCGTTGTGTGTTAACGTGCCCCTTCCCTTGTTCATAGACGCAGGTTATGTCAAGTGGAAAACACTCCGTCCCTCGGATAGGATGTTAAATGGAGGCCCCGTGTAGAGAAGAGTCACTACCTTTGCATGTTAAGAACCCACTGCACTATTCGTATAAGAGTAGGGGGAAACCAAGGTGTAGTGGTCCACCTGCACACACCCCCAGTATAGTACAAATAATACTCTGTAAAGAGGTCTGTTCTCAAAAGGAAGAAGAAGAATAGATATTCAATTTATACAAAATATAAATAATGTAAGCACAGGTGAAGCCTATTGCATAAAATAGGTCAAATTAGATCTCCATTTCTTATCAAGTTTATCACACTGATAGTTTTTTTTATAAAGATGAAACTCTCTTGATCAAAATACCTCTTAACCTCTCCTTTGAGAAGATCTTGGCAAGGTCTTTGTCAGACTATGGCTTTGTTTATAATGCCTTTTATAGCCTGACTCAAATGGCCCATATCGTAATAAAAGTTGTTGTCGTATCAGGTTTTAGTAAAGGAAATTGTAGTGATGTCTAAGTGTTCCCTTGGTTAAACATGATACTAAACCCAGTGTAGGATTTACTTGTAGCTGAATTAATAAAAGGCTGGACTCTCAGATTACAGGATACATGCATCCATGGAGCTGTATTCTGAAAACCAACTACATGTACTGTACATGTACATTTATGTCGTCATTAGGCTGGAAAAAAGTTCAATTTCCTTTTTGCAACACGGTATCACCTTTATAAGTTAAGTAGCAGTTAAAGATGAAGTTGAGTTCTGGTCATGCGATTGCATTGTGAAAGAAACGGTGTGGAACCGACCAGAAAAGGTTGATCATCTAGCATATAAGAATTTGTGTGTGTTGCAAGGTTCTGGAATCATCAAAATGATAAGAAATTTGGCCAAGTCTTGGTAAAGTTACAAACACTTGCACAGAAAGATGTATATGGGACTACACGAACATGTGGCGTAAAAAGCCGACCCCCGATGTTACATGCATATTTAGAATATGAAGGCATTTGAAGAGCCATGCTTTTCAGGGAACATGTCTTATCTGATGTTCTTCCACACTTGCATAATAAGAATTAGTAATGCTCACAAATTATTTTTCACCTCTTCCCAGAACTCAACCTTCTCTTTAAATGGTTGCCAAGTATGAATTTAAAAAAAAAATTGAGATACCTATAGAACAAAAGAGACATGCATGAATCAGAAGGTTCAGTAGATGATGGGTTAATAATCAAGCAAAGATAATTTAGTCACTTATATTGTAGAGGTGTTGTGTTCTAGTGGATAAGTCATCAGACTGTAGATCACAGGGTCCGCGGTTCAAGTCCCGCCCCGGCACTTATGTCCTTTGGCAACACATTAATCTACATTTGCCACTCTCCACCCAGGTGTTAAATGGGTTCTGGTAGGTAGGAATTCCTTGAATGTCGTGAGCGTCGAAATCGGCAGCCTAGCAGAGCCGGGTAATATTCGGAGCACCTTGAGCACCTTGCATGGTGGATATTTGTGCTATATAAATATCCAATATTATTATTATTATTATTATTACAAAATAGATGTGAAAGACACTTATGATTTTTTTTCCCCCTTTTTTTCTTTGATTACAGCCTGACAGCTCTGTGGAGCCGTTCTTTGATTCTCTCACCAGTCAAACCTCAATACAAGACATCTTTGCTCTACAGATGTGTGGAGCCCTAGCCTCAACAAATGATACCAATCTTGGGAGCTCGGCCGATGGGCCTGTAGAGGAAGTGATAGGGAGCATGGTAGGTCTGGAAAAATTTAAATCTATTTTATGGAAAAATAATCTTTCTACAGTAAACATTTTCTGTCCCTGTCGTTTTTTCAAGTCTCCCAGGAACCTATTCTTTACAAGCTCTGTTTTTCTATGGGTTCCTGCGCATTTCACAGTTTGTACTTTTGTTTGAGTTTTTTAAAAATGATATTAGTTGTCAAACAAATGTGATGACATGTAACTTTGTAGTCTGATTACCTTGTCAATTACTATAATCATTTTTTTGAATTATGAAACAATATGTCTTTTATGTATATTTTGTTATCTGTATTATATCTGCATGTGAAATGTGAAACCAATAAACTTAAACTCAAACTCAAATAATAATAGTATACAAATACACAATGACACTCGAGGATCTAGCTGAAACTATTTGCATCGAATGAACATCAACTTGTACTATTCTCCCGAGGGCCATTGAGAATAGTACTATTGATGCTCCCGAGTGCGAATAGTGTTAGCTTGTTCAGAGAATGAGTCATTTGTTTTATATCCCTTCCATCTGTGTCATTCCTCGGACACTTCTGTAATAACATGTACCATACTCACATCACATTCAGAAAAAAAAGAAGAAGATAATTGCACGGCTCAATTGAAACAATGAATTTTGCCAGTTGGAGGGGGGGGGGGGGGGGGGTGGAAAACAAATAGCTCACTTTTTCCTGGGAAAAGGTGAACTAGTCGTGACGTCAGCAATAAAACTATTCGGCACGAAAAGTCTTTTCTAGTAAAACTATTGTTTTTCTTGTTGTGTGCACTCCTAATGCAACAATCTTACGATAAAAGGGATATAATGATTATTATATACCTCACTTAAGTAATCCAGCAATCTGATTGGTCGAAATTGCATTCATAAACTTTAACTGTTCCCGAAAATTCCCAGTAACCATGGTTAAAACAGTTCTAAAATCCCAATAACCATGGTTACCGGGAAAATAGTTCAGTCTCCATGGTTACCCCATAGGTTTACATGGTTGTTAAAAAATGGTCTGAGCGATCGAGGATACCGTACATGTGCGAAGAATTGGTCGGTTATTTCAATACAATTGAATCTCGATCGATCTTACCGACAATTTTATCTTGCATTGTTGACATGAAGACGAAAATAAACTTCCAAAAACAAAAAAACAACATCTGCCGATAGATCTTGATCTAAGTTCGTGCCAATATGCATTGCAAAAGTAAAAGAAGGGCCCGTTTAATGGGGCAGCGGCGAAGCATCCACCACGCGAAGCCGTTTTCAATCCATTTTAATGTATATATTAGAGAAAACTGCTATATATGGTGACATAGCGCGCTGGCCGAGCGGTTTAAGGCGGTGATTTTAGTTACATCACCTTTTGTACGCAAGAGATCGAATCCCATCTTCGACAAAAGTTTTTTTATTTTTTTATTTTTTAGTCTATTTTTTTTCGGCATATAAAAGTATTAATGACTGCTTTAATATTCGAGAAATGGTTGTTTTTATACGCTCTCGGGAAGGTTACAATTGGGCTATTGCCCTCGGCACGCCTCGGGTAATAGCACAATTCTAACCTTCCCTTGAGCGTATAAAAACAACTATTTCTCTCAAAGCAGTCATTAATACTATACTATAAATTGAACTATTGGTATTCATTGTACCAACAATCCAGGCAGTATTGAGTCCATGAAATCATGACCTTTATTTCTCACTATCTTACTATTATTTCTTTGTGTATCTTACTGATATTTCTTAGAACAGCTGTATTTTGTCAATATATTTTGCTTTCTTTCTGAACTTTATTACTGATATTTGTCACTATCTTTTATATATATATTTTTTCATTATCTTTCACTGAATAGAATATAGGTGGATTAGATGCCTCGTTGTACCATGGAACAATGCAGTACGCACCGCTCAGAGATGAATGGTTTTATGAAGTCATCATGACTGATATCAGAGTGGGCAACGATAGTCTTGGTCTAGACTGTAAAGAGGTGAGAGATGGCAGTTTTTCATGCATACAAGAAATACAGTCAAACCTGCTTTAGTGACCACCTGTCTACAAAGACCACGTTTTTTGTTTCCCTTGAAAATGACTTCTCATTGAAACATGTACTAAAGGAACTAGCTAATACAAAGACCACATTTTGTGTTTCCTTTGGGCGGTCGGTATAGACAGGTTTGACTGTAGCAGTTTTTCATGCATACAAGAACTTGAATAGCCATTTTTCATTATACGAGAAATAGCAGTTTTTCATGAATATAAAAATTGGCACAAGGGCACGACAAAAACTTTACTTTTGTATTTGGAATCAAGCAGCCTCCTATTTGCAACAATTACTGTCACAGTATATGCCTTTTTATAAAACAAATTATTCACCTACCATTACAATGTAAAGGAAGTTTTCTGAATAAAAATGACTCATTTTTATGTTAGGCTTCCTGAGAAAAGTTACAATCGTTATAAAGATTATTTTTGGCCTGCTTCCAGTAGTTGAAGATCGTGTGTTGTAAATAGCAGGTTCACGTCCCGCTGGTGCCAAGATTTTTTCTGACTTGTAAATCAATTTAAAGATCGAGCACATGATTTATCTACTGGATGCAAGCCAAAAAAAATTTTAAACAAAAGCAATTTGAGAACACAATTTAAGTACTGTCTGTAAAGTGGTAAAGTAAACTAGGACTTTAACTACATGTTGAATTTTGTTGAGTTTCATAATGATATATCCGATGTCTATTTTGTTCTGTATTTATGTGGGTAAAAAACGTTTTTCAAGCTTGAATGAATTCTTTTAAGCATTATACAATTTGAATGCTTGATTTTCTTCTGATATTTTGACAGTACAACTTTGACAAGACTATAGTGGATAGTGGTACCACAAACCTCAGGCTTCCAGTGAGAGTGTTTGAAGCGATAACGAATGCGATCAAAGCTCACACAACAAAGGTAAGCGCAATAGCCTCAGCTCATTGGGTAAAAGGGATCGTTTTACAATGTTAAACCTAAGATGCACGGCCCTACGTGTTATCAGTGTCTGTGATATGGTGTTATATTGAAGCCCTAACAAAATTGCGCTTCAAAATGATCAAGAAGTGCCTCAAAAACGTAAAAACCTTTGAGTGACCGGTTTTACCGTACTTGTTTTCCCCAATAGACTGTAGTGTTATGAAAACCGTTTGGCAAACAGAAAATTTGATTTCGATTTTCAATCATAAATATCTTGATAATCAGACAGGCGATCGTCTTGTAAAAGTCATGGGGTACCTGACTGACCTAAAGGTTTATAATTATCATTGCAACATGAGCTAAATCCAGGATTTTGTTTCAGAATCTGAGACAAAGTTACCGGATCCCTTTAATGCTTTAGAGTATCTTGAGTCCTGGTAAATATTCCAAGTAAATTCCCAGAGAAATGCACAAAGTTATCACCACATACATTTAATTCTATGAATAGATAATTGCATATCTGCCAAATAAATCTGAAAGAAAATATGAGCAGCAAAATAAATAAGGTATTCCATAAAAGGCAGGACTCTGTCCAGAACAGAATTAATAATGATATTAAAGATAAACATGAGTTCTAGCAAAAAAGGAAAATGAATTCTCACAGAATCTAACGAAACTTACACTGAATGTTCAAGATTACAAATAAATGTCAATTGCCAAACAATTTTGGTAGAAAATGTATACTGGCTGAGTAATGAGAATAGAAAGATGAGGAAATCAGGGTAGTCCTAGCCCCGACACCATGTGTGTTGTCCCATATACATCTTTCTGTGTAAGTGATTGTTACTTTACCAAGACTCTGCCAAATTTATGATGATTTTGACGACTCCAGAACCTTGCATTACACACCATTACTTACATGCTATATGATCAACTTTTCTGATCCATTCCACACCTTTTCTTTCAAAATGCAATCGCATTACCAGAACTCAAGTTTATCTTTAATGATAATAATGTTTTGTTATTCTTTAGTGCATTTCAGGGCAATGAGCCATCTCAATGCACTATACAACAACATTTACTTCTTTCTCAAGGGAGACAAAATGCATGGCCACTAGGCCTAAAAAAAAAGATTTTGTATTCCCCTTTACGACTGACCCAAACATCTTGAAATCTATGGTCGGCTTTTTACAATTTTTTTTTTTTCACTGATTGTTAGAGAAAAAAATATTAAAGCATTCAAACTGCGAACTATCAGCCCAAAGAGGGAGAAAAAAAAAAAGAAGTACATTTCTGACAGACCGACTCATATTTCGGCACCTAAAGGGCAATACAACATCTTCTTTTTTGGGTACTAATTGACAGGTGACCTATATAGAGAGGTACCATAGCCACTATTAATGACACGTTTGAGTGTATCATCATAATGATTTTTATTCTTGTCATTGTTATCATTTGTATTTTGTTCTCATGTAGCACATGCCCGATGTCCCAAGTGAGTTCTGGACGGGGATGAATCTCATGTGCCCCACCGACAGCACCTCGCCTTACGAGCCTTATCATTGGTTCCCTACATTGACCCTTGACCTTCAGTCAACCAATCAGGGACAAGCATTCTCATTGGTCGTCTCTCCGCAGGTATTACTTGTATGGATGATGATAATGATTGTCAGGGGAAAAAATAAACCGGGACTCGGGGCGAAATAGCCCCTGAAATGCGAGAAGGAACCCCCCCAAAATGTGCATAAAGTTCAATACAAAAACAATTAAAAAGTGTAATTTCAATGCAAACAAGCTTGAAAAGTAGTCCCCGTAATTTGTTAAATATTTTTTCCCTGATGATTATAATTGGAGTTTGATGTATTGCTCGATTAAAAATATTTTTAGGTGCTTTACAGGTACTTTCGGCCTTGCCTCGTCATCAGTTTTATTCTCTCTTTGAGTGGCCATCTCATCTTCCTTTAGATTTTAAAGGTATAGACCAGTTCTGGTCATGTTATTGCATTGTGAAAGAAACATTGTGGAATCAATCATAAAAGGTTGATTATCTAGCATATAAGTATTGGTGTGTACTGCAAGGTTCTGGAATCATCAAAATGATAAGAAATTTGGCCCGGTCTTGGTAAAGTTACAAGCACTGTAAACAGAAAGATGTGTATGGGACTACGCGATATCTATCCAGGTCGGAGCGATCTGATAATTTACCAAATATATCAATTAGTAGGCGGTTTGCCAGCAAAATTTGTATCATCACGTATTAGTCAAAACATATTCTTTGACATTATTGGTAATAAGAGCTTCCATTTCATTTTTTGAGAGGGGGGCGTTTCCAAAAGTATTAGGCTATTATTATACCTTTAATCATGATAATAATGTTTGAACCGGAGTGTTGGCTCAGTCAGTACAGCGTCCGCCTCACAACCGGGAGGTCGTGGGTTCGAACCCCGGCCGCGTCATACCAAAAGACGTTAAAAGATGGGAGTTGTTGCTACCTTGTTTGGCGTTCAACAATAAGGGATAGAGCAACGTCAATCACGCGCTGCTCAGTGGCTGCCGGGCTCACGATCAATTGGGCAAAAAGAATTCCGTTTTAATTTAATAAAATTTGGAGTGGACTATTAGGCTATTATTATACCTTTAATCATGATAATAACGTTTACATCTCGTCTCATGCCTACATCCATTATGTTGGGATGCATGTGACACTCCAACATTTATTACCCCGGTCATAGCTGAGCAGCCAAATACGTAGTGTTCTAGCATAGAGGTGTTGTGGTCTAGTGGATAAGGCACCCGACTACAGATCACAAGGTATGGGGTTCGAGTCCCGCTGCGGCACTCATGTCCTTTGGCAAGGCGTTAATCTACGAAAATTACTTGTACTGGTTTAAAGTTAGTCTCTATCTTTTTTTGTCACGTTTATGTCACTTTCACTTTTAACATTATTTATCTGTGCATTTTCCCCTTTTTAGCAATACTTGAGACGTGACTATGACCATGAGGATAAGAAGAATTGCTTCAAGTTTGCCATTGCCCCTTCAACTAACCATGCTGGTAAGTCATCGTAAAAATTCTCTCTGTGCCCAGGGGTTTTACTTGAAATATTGTAAGGTTTGGTGAATATATTTTGCCCATCATTCACCTGTTTGTGCGAAAATTCCTCAGAAACGATCATAAAACCAACCAATGATGGTAACTTCCATGGGAACCTTGATTTGATTGGCTGTTGAGTGATGTTGCCATGGTAGTTAATATTTATTTGCAAAGTTGATATCAGGGGTAAGATTTGAGTTTGGGCCCATACCTGTAACATAACTATTCACCTGTAATGTAACTATTCACCTGTAATGTAACTATACACCTGTAATGTAACTATTCACCTGTAATGTAACTATTCACCTCTAATGTAACTATTCACCTGTAATGTAACTATACACCTGTAATGTAACTATTCACCTGTAATGTAACTATTCACCTGTAATGTAACTATTCACCTGTAATGTAACTATACACCTGTAATGTAACTATACACCTGTAATGTAACTATTCACCTGTAATGTAACTATTCACCTCTAATGTAACTATTCACCTGTAATGTAACTATTCACCTCTAATGTAACTATTCACCTCTAATGTAACTATTCACCTCTAATGTAACTATTCACCTCTAATGTAACTATTCACCTCTAATGTAACTATTCACCTCTAATGTAACTATTCACCTGTAATGTAACTATTCACCTCTAATGTAACTATACACCTCTAACATAACTATTCACCCGTAATTTTTTCTTACATCCTGTTAGGTGCAGTTATAGGAGCTGTAATAATGGAGGGCTTCTACGTCGTGTTTGACAGAGAGAATAAACGGGTCGGCTTTGCCAGGTCAACATGCCCAGGTGAGGTAGTCAAACCTGTCTAGAAATTAAGGCCACCTCAAAGAAAAGAAAATATAAAGCATGTATGTGATCAATCAGGTGAAAAACACCACTTTGAATTTCAAACCTGTTTATGAGGGTTATCCAAAAACTTAGTTTACAGATCTGACCAATCAGCTGAAAGCCACCTCTTTGTGTATGTGTGTGTGTGTGTGTATTGGGTTTTTACAGACGTGTATCAATCAGATATGATTATTTACGTCTGGGGACCGACCTTTAACGTTACCATCCAAAAGACGTGACTCAGTTTCAAACCTGCGTCCTCGGCTGAATCAGTTTGTAACTCCCACTTTTAGCTGGATTATAGGCGCACGCCACAAAGCCTACTTTGATTTTATACTCAAAGAAACTTCGACCTAATGGATAAAAACCACCAATTACATATAGCCAAAATTATTTTGTTTGTTTTGCATATTTTCATGAATTATAGAGTAGAACCAACATGAATAGATTTCATGTTTGTATCATGCTTTACTAGACGCAATCAATATCATCTATCAGGTACTCATTCACCCTCACTGGGTAGAGAGTGGCAAATGCTGATTAATAAATCAATAAAGAATCTTCACTGGGTTTTGAACTCCCAACCTCTGAATTGAAAGTCAAGGGAGTGAACCACTATACCACGATACTTCTGTCTACGTGATTTCAAATTTCATATTTTTACCATCACTGTTCACGGGAATTGTTTCACAAAACTTGTCATTAGTGACAAATGACAGTTTTTGTCATAAGCTACTGAAATCCTTGCTTCTGATTGGTTATCAGCAGATTTGTCACTGAATTTTGTCATTTGTCATTGAAAAAAGGCTTTGTGAAACGCCCACCTGATTGCCAAGAATATCACTGACTGGCTTCAAATGCTTATTAGCAGTTTGTCTGTGTATTGATTCTAGGTGCTTGTGAAAAGACAGGAACATGTGTCGGGAATTCCCCTCTCATTACAGAAGCTTTCAACATTGATTTTGGTAAGTTTCTTGTGAATATAACTATTTTAAAAGTAAAGAAATCAATGATACTTTAATTCGTGACAAAGGAAATAAATGCATAAGAGGAGAAAAATAAGATTGAGAGAAAAATAACAATTTTATAAAACATAACAATTAGTAAAAATAGACGTCACTAAAGGGTATATTGTATGTGGATGAAAAAAATTAAGAAAGAAAATACTTTTCTGAATCAACCGTCTACATCTTGGAAGCAATCACAGCTACATTGCAAATTTACAGATAATTGGTATTAGTAGGAGACCAGCCTGTAGGTCCCGTGACCAATCTCAGGGAACAAAGGTTTGAAAGTGTTTTTGTGTTCCCTGATGAATACCGAACAATTTTGACTTGGGCTGCCCCCTTAAAAATTCCAGGCATTTTCGTGAGGGGTCAACAAAGGTCATACAGGGTAGAAATTCAAATATATTCCAATCGTGTCAATATGCATATCAAATTACTCGTCTGGTCATGAGGATTCAAAAAATGTATAGTTTGCTATACCTCCGACCTTAAATGAGGGCGCTATGGTCAAAAACGTTGAAAGGTCAACACACTTTTGACTTGTGGACAAATTCACCAGCACAGTTAACCTTATCAAATTTCATATCAAATTACTCGGCTGGTCATACGGATTCCAAAAATGTATAGTTTGTTATACTTCCGACCTAAAATGAGGGCGCTATGGTAAAAAAGGTCAATGCACTATAGACTGGTGGTCAAATTCACCAACACAGTTAACATTGTCTGATTCTAATGATTTTAGTGTCTAATAATATGTTTTCTGACATAACAAATTCAACTAAGCAACTTTTAAAATCAAAAGTGGTTGCCATAACCTTGAAATTTCTCTAAAACCCATGGATAAGAAGTTATTAAATGTTTGTCACCAAAACGGGAGCCATTTTGAATGTACATGGTCAAGGTAAGCACTTTTACTTTTGAAAGTTGTATAGTTGAATTTGCCATGTCAGAATACATATTATTAGACACTAAAATCATTAGAATCGGACCATGTTAACTGTGTTGGTGAATTTGACCACCAGTCTATAGTGCATTGACCTTTTTGACCATAGCGCCCTCATTTTAGGTCGGAAGTATAACAAACTATACATTTTTGGAATCCGTATGACCAGCCGAGTAATTTGATATGAAATTTGATTAAGTTTAATGTGTTGTTGAATTTGACCTCAGGTCAAAAGTGTGTTGACCTTTCAACGTTTTTTACCATAGCGCCCTCATTTAAGGTTGGAGGTATAGCAAACTATACATTTTTTGAATCCTCATGACCAGACGAGTAATTTGATATGCATATCGACACGATTGGAATATACTTGAATTTCTACCCTGTATGACCTTCGTTGACCCCTCACGAAAATGCCCGGGATTTTCAAGGGGGCAGCCCAAGTCAAAATTGTTCAGTATTCATCAGGGAACACAAAAACACTTTCAAACCTTTGTTCCCCGAGATTGGTCATGGGACCTACAGGCTGGTCTCCTACTATATATTCTTGTTTAAAAATATCTTATAAATCACTCCTAATTCACATTTATTTTCTGATTCCTGTTTTCAGATGCTTCAGACTGCGGCTATGACCGATCAACATCCTACGACCCCGCCCTGACCATCACAGCCTACGTCCTAGCGGCTATCTGCCTGGTCTGCCTCATCCCCGTCATCGTCTTCGCTCTCACCCACCAGATCAACAAGAGGTGTAAAGGTCGTAGAGGCCGCGGTGTCGTGAACCATCACAGGTTAGATCAGGAAGGTCTTGCAGAGAACGAACCTAACTCGGATCCTTGAGAGCCAAGTCTTTCTTTTTTTAATAATTTTTATGTGAATCTTGTCCTCAGTTCTACCATGGCCTTCATTTTTGTTCTCCTCTTTTGACGTTGCATTTCCCCTTGTCCTTGTTTGTGCCCCATGTCTTTGAGAACTCAATTATTTTATATTTCATCTTTAAGGGAAAGTCAACTCTGATAAAAAGTTGGCTCTTGATATAAGCAGAAAATGAGAAATAGATCAGGGAAGGGTTGAATGAAATGTGGTCAAAGATAAGAATGGATTAAGAAAGATTTTAATCGAGGTATAAAATACCTGCTGCCAACGAGAACCGCATGATTAGGTTATTAAGCCTGCAGGAATTTTGAGAATTCAGTAGTTTATCACACCTATATTGCCAAATGTATGACTTCACTCATGATCAGGGGGGTGTTTCACACAGATCCTAAGTTGGACTTAACAGTTATGGAAAGCCAATAGCATCCTTGAAAATATTTTGTAAAAGTAATTGCAAAAGGCATAACATGTTGATGCAAATCATTCATATTTTCTATTAACATGGGAGATTTCATGTTCTTGATGTGAAATTTATGAAAAGTCATTTCTTTCTTTTTTTTCTCTTTTTTTTAACTTTTGAATATATTTCAAAATAAGGCTACAAATGGCTCTCCATAATATTTAAGTCTAACTTAGAGTTAAGTTTGACTTTGAATCTTTGTGAAACACCCCCCTGGTCTCTATTTGCTTCAAACTGAGATTTAGCAGCAAAGGTGTGAAAGATGGGGAATATCAGATAGAGTGTAATAGCTATTTGAATCCATACAAAGAGTATATCTTTGCAAACTTCATTAAAAAGTGCAATATAGGCCTATAGTTAAGCGAACAAAAAGAAAACATTGGAAATACAAGTAGTTATTGGTAGGAAATATGCTATTTCAAGGACTCTGACCTGCAGAGTAAGTCTTTTTAGAAAACTATGTTATCTGCTTTTGTTAGGCGCAAATGACTGTAACTGTTATAAAAAAAAGCCAGCTTAGTGCAGACATTAATAATTTGCTTTGTCCAAATTTCACTTTGTTTTGACAATGAAACATCAATTTACTCACATAAAAGAGAACAACAATTTTCAGAATACAACCCTATATAAATTATCCCAAGTCGACAATATTAAATGTCATCATTTGGGTAACAACCATAAAATTCTTTGTTTTTAAATATAATATATAAAGATTATAACCCTATATTTAAGAGGCTGAATTGTACGACTTGACTTGCCAAAATATATATATTTGTTTTCAATGCGGAGTTTAATAAGGATAGTATATAATGAATTCATTCGTATAATATCATAATGAAAGTTCCTAAATAGTTTGTAATTTGATTATTCAAGATATTTGAATTTATATGTGTTTTAACATTTATGTAGTTTCCTAATGACAGGGCCACATTGCTTACACGATGTAGATAAAGACCTGTCTAGAAAGACCTGTCTATAAAGACCACCTCTCTACAGAGGTCACCTCTCTATAAAGACCACCTGTTTATAGTGGCCAATCGTCCTGTCTCCCTTGAGAAAGAAATGTGTGTTGTAGAAAATGTGTAGAAAGGCCACCTGTCTACAGAGGCCACTTTTTTCTGTTTCTCTTGGGTGGCCTTTGTAGACAGGTTTGACTGTACTTCAGAATATCATAATTGAGTCTTAAAGATAAAGTTGAGTTCTGGTCATACGATTGAATTGTGAAGGAATCGATCAGAAAAAGTTAATCATCTAGCATATACATGTACGTATTGGTGTGTACTGCAAGGTTCTGGAATCATCAAAATGATAAGAAATTTGGCCCAGTCTTGGTAAAGTTACAAGCACTGTACACAGAAAGATGTATATGGGACTACGCGAACATGTGGCATAAAATTCTGTCCCAATTTTTATGTACCATATTTAGAATATTATGGCACTTGAAGAGCCATGCTTTTTAGGGAACATTTTTTATCTGATGTTCTTCCACACTTGCATAATACATTGATAACGCTTGTCACCTCTTCCCAGAACTCAACCTTCTCTTTAAGATACCTGTATAGCCTAGTGTACTCAAGAGAATGTATGTTTTTTTCTTCCATTTCAGCTGTAGATTAAATCAGGGAAAATGCAGGGAAATAATTACTTTAAGATTGTAGCATGATATGTAGGCCTATACTATATACATACCTGTGCAACCTATGTATCAGACTCAGTATTTTGTAACACTTGGTATTTTTTCTATTGTTTAGTATTTTCAATTTTCAATAGAAAGGTTTGTTTTTGTTTTTCGTCTCTTGTTTTGTTTCTTCTGTTTCATGTTTTCAAGCTGCAAAATTGTGTTATCCTCTGAGTGATATTATAACATGCACCAGATACAGGGGATTTCTTTCATGAGGCAATAGGTTTAACAAGTATTAGCAATTTGTGTTAATCTATGTACAGGAAACGACTTAATTATTCATACCCCTGTAAATTTGATGTTTTTTGCGTTTTTCGGAACTCAATAATGAAAGGTGGACTGGTTGAATCAGGGCCTGTGTTTGAATACTTTTAGATGTAAGCTTTCATATGTTTCATTCTCCAGAATCGTAAATCGGGACAGATCACTTTTGCACATATTTCAATAATTACAAAATCTGGTAAGGGCATGAATAATTTAATTGTTACTGTACATGTAAAATGGTATATTTGGACAAGTCCGAGCTATTTTTTTTCTACCGTCCACATCTCATACTTCTGTACATCTCATGCCTGTATCAAGGTCATAGCTCTCCTAGAGCTGGAACGAGACAAAACATCAAATAAAATGATATTCTTTGCCAATTTCTGTTCCCAATTCCATAATTCAATTCAATGAAACTACATATGGAACATGCTACACATTAGACTTATCCAGTTAAACCTGTTTGATTTGATTTTCCTTTAATATGTATCATTGTTTTTATCAAAAGAATTTAAGATGGAGGAGAAAAGATTATGTGAACATATATTTTTATTTGTTTTCTTTTGCCTTAATTCATTTGTTTCAGTCTTCTGCCAAAGTTAGATGAAAATATTTATAGATTTGTCATTTATTGTAATATGTTGTAGCTATTTATAGCAAGATGGATATTATGTGTATATTTGGATCAATGGTATTTGTACTACATGCAGTTCTGGGTCAATGCTCAATCAATGTGTTCAAGGAATGTACTGCATTTAAATAAATTTTGTAGATTATTTGCTGATAAATATATTGTCCATTTTGTTCATTTGTTCAGTTTAGTTTGTAGAGAAAAGAATCTCACAAAATCAACAAATAGAAACAATATATTGCCTCCCTTTCATTGCAGTTGTTCAATTAAGTTTGAAGAGAAGAATCTCACAAAATCAACATTTAGAAACAAAGTGCCTGGCTTTCATAGTAGTTGTTCATTTAATTTTGTAAGAAAAGAATCTCACAAAATCTACATTTAGAAACAATATACCGCCATGCTTTCATTGTAGTTGTTCAATTAAATTTGTAGAGAAAATAATCTCACAAAATCAACATTTAGAAACATTATATTGCCTCGCTTTCATAGTTGTTCATTTTAGTCTGTAGAGAAAATAATCTCACAAAATCAACATTTGGAAACATTATATTGCCTCGCTTTCATTGTAGTTGTACAATTAAGTTTGTAGACGAAAGAAACTCACAAAATCCATACATAGAAACAATGCTGATTATTGAAAGCTATTTCTTTTATTATTAAGATAATCAAATATACATTATTCAATATGAAATAAGGAAAAATACAAACATAGAAATCCATGAAGACCAAAAACATATAAGTACCACATTCCATGTGTATATGAAACAATGTCTATTCCCCTTATTATGTAACAACCTTCCACAATATACATACTTGTATTCCATATCTATATTTTCATTTGACAATACACATCTATCGTCTATTATCAAAAAATTCCCTATCATCAATAAATAGCAATGAAAGTGGATTCGACACTTTACAAATTCATATATTATTGTCATCATTATTATTCAATGTACCATGCACTAAGAGGCTCCAGAGACCCGTTTCACAAAGCCTTTTCTAATGACAAATGACTAAAATCAGTGACAAATCTGCTGATAACCAATCAGAAGCAAGGATTTCAGTAGCTTATAACAAAAACAGTCATTTGTCACTGATGACAAGTTTTGTGAAACAGGGCCCTGATAGTAAAGCTGCCATCAATATTAACTACCATTGTGACATCACTCAACAGCCGATCAAATCAAGGTTTCCATGGAATTTACCATTAAATGGCAAAGGTACCAGCAAAGCTAAGTTTTGTGCAACGAGCCCAGGTAGGGGTAAAATTCCTATGAGATTATGATGGAAAGAAATTGAATATTGTCACTGCTAATGATTCCAAGGTCTGTATCAACTCTTATTCTGCCGTAATGAATACAGCCCAGAGCCACAGGGCCAAGCCATAGACCCCCCCCCCCTTCCAAGGTCTGCATTAACTCTTACCCTGCCATGATGCGCATAAAACCGCAACGGTGTTTAATGATGACGTAAAGTGTAATAGGCTTCACATTTCTGTATCTTACATAACACAGAGCTCAGTGATTACGTGCAAGTCCTTGGCTGTGGACAGTTGCCATTCATGTACACATAAACATTTTATAAAACGGCGGCGGCTTTTTGGCTGGGGTTCACCGCGCCATATCTGAACAAGGGAGTGGGTAGTCAGTTTCCAAGTGCAGAAGGCCAAAATTTGCTGACACCAGACTTGGTGGAAATACAATTAATGTGTTAGTCTGCACACAGCGAACCCGTAGGTCCATCAAGAAATACCCTTCGTCTCTCGGAGAATCTTCGGGTGAGGGAAAAGTTAGATGACTTTACCTTGTGGAGGAATGGATGAGGAAATACAAAGCATTACATAAGGCATTTGGGTCATAAAACTGAAGGCTAATCCTGGTGATTGACAAAGCATGTTATAGGGTAAACACCTGATCGGTGTTGAATTCCCTGTGAGAGCCAACTACTATGTGTCTTTAAGATAATAAGCAAATAGACAATGAATACACTTACACACAGTGAAAATGAGTTGAAGTTGAAAAACTTGGCAAAGATAAACTAAGTTACGCTACATTTCAAATCTATTTCTTCAAAATGTTATTTCTATGTAGCAATATCATAACCAACATAATTATATTAATAGGTTTGACGAGAGATATTCATTCATTGTGATGAATAACAAAATAGAAACATCATGATTTCTTGTACATGTTATGCGCAAGCAATTATTCAGCACCATTAAAACGTGAAAAAAGACAAGTGACATGTCACCACACTAATTTTCCCAAGCAATTTTGTTCACTTTTTACCAAAATATAAACAAAATCTTACTTTTCAAGCGCCTGCAATTCTTAACCATTTATAATCCTTCTAAATGATACCAATATTCCCACTTAAGATTCATGCATGAACATTATTGTATAATGACAAAGAGTTTTCTTACACACATAGTCCTTTACATATTATACGTTCCTCATTTGGTTAATACTGTACTGTTTTATGCTAAAGAGAGAAAAGGCCCAGAAATAATTATTCCAACTAACTCCAAAATCTCTATGGTATCATACAATAAACATTATATATTTATGATGCTTGATTCACCCTCTAAACATTGATAAACATATACTGATCACCATAAGCAATTCTCTTGGAGAGATTACTGTTATGTGTCATTGAAAATATCTCACTTGTTTGTCACATATACAATAACGTGACATCCGCACAGCAAGAATCAAGTCATGAATGGATTGAGAATCTTTAGCTTTCCTGATCATGATTTTGACTTGTTAATGCGAGATGTTGGAAAGATATCAATTATCAAATCTTATAGCGTACTACAATAAAACAAAGGTTTTTATCTTTGCCAACAAATGTATGTATCGATACTATAAAATTGCTTTTCTCTACTCAGAAAAACTGTTTCTCACAAGGTATATTTAGACAATTTATACACACACACCTAGTCCAAATGGAAAATATAAACATGTTCTCAGTAGAACTACCATTACATTCTATCTTTAAAAGACAAAGACATGTACAATCATAAATGCAAAATTAACATCTCACAAAAACCTCACAAATCAGTAAAGCTTAAGTTTTGTAACTGTTGAGTTCAAATTCCGTCTAAATATTCCATACATATATGAAAGACTGACGATCAAGTATAAAACTATGTATACAATATTTAAGCATAATTCTTCTACATACAGAATCCATCTTTCTGGGTTTTTCTTACAATAAGAGTACTTCAATATTCAAGTGACTTTAATGATGCAGTGTAATACATGATAAGTATTTAAATAACAGGGGGGGGGGGGTGGTTGGATATTTAATCTGATGAGGAAAAAAAAACGGCTTTAAGAGCAGAATAAACAAAGGAGGTTAATAAAATAAAGATTTACAATACATACCCCATCAATTGCATGGATCATGTGTGCTACAGGTATGCTTATACAACTTTACAGATACAGATCCTTTGTGAATTTTAGTCTTATACATACCCTTATTAATTATGATGCTAAATACAATCATTATAAAATATTGTACTGAGTTTACATTCATTTATTTGTTAACGCCTAATAATTTGATTGTACATAAGCATATTGTTATCCATATATTTATGTAACAGACTACCGGTATACAGTTTCTTTGACTTTGAGTACATTGTTTCTACCATTGTTATCTATCTGTTTTTGTTTTTTATTTGTATTTTAAATCCAACCTCAAGTTTTGGTTACAATACATAAATATAATAACAATACATGTACAGTCAAACCTGCTTTAGTGACCGCCTGTCTACAAAGACCACCTGTCTACAACAAGCACATTTGTTGTTTCCCTTGAAAATGGTTTCTCATTGAAACATGTACTAAAGGAACCTGTCTACAAAGACCACTTTTTTTGTTTCCCTTGGGTGGTCGCTGTAGACAGGTTTGACTGTATATGAGTTTTTTACACAAATCACATTCACACATTCATGGCAAAGTGAGAAGCAATTTTCAACATCAAGTGTATTTCATCATAGATATCATAACGCTAACAGTTCTGAAATACCCCATGAACTACAGGAATGAGGATAAGATTTTACTTTGACGTCATACATACATGGTATCATAGACAGCTGCTGATGAAGGTAATAACAACATTAAGAAACACAGTTAAAATCTATTGGTATCTCTTATGAGTGCCTTGGGCCTATGAGTATGGCACCCAGTACATGATACAGAATTTCCAAATAACATTGCACTTGTTTTTTTTAGAAGTTCTTTTCTTACTTCATTTTAAAAGAGTGAAATGAATACATGGGAGTATTATCAAGCCTGCCGATTCTGAGAATACAATAACATTGAGTTACCAAGCTTTATCACCCAAAATAAAATCATTTGACAAATATTTCTGTGGAAGGAGGGTCATCATAGTAAAAACAGTCAGTACATGCTGACTTCAATAATTGATGATGACGATGATGACGACGACGACAACGATGATGATGATGATGATTCTGGCCTGCCGTACAAAATAATTACAAACCCTCAGTCCAGAGTGTGTACTATGATAAAACCTAGAGCATTGGTTCAATATCATCGTCATTGTTAATCTGTTGTACTTCACCTAAGTCTGCCTTGTCGTCAAAGCGTATCGTCCCTTCAGCTTTGTGCAGCTCAAAAACTGCGATCTGGATAAAGAAATTGGAGGGCAAAAAGAAAAGAAACATGGATGAGTGTCTATGATGTTATTCAATAATACAAATTTAGAAATAACTAGATTTATATCGGGCGCATATCAATCCCAGATGCTCACAAAGTAATATCATGGAATAAACTCCTACCAGGTACCCATTTACTACACCTGGGTGGAGATCAGCAGGCCTCTAACCACAAATCATGTGATCCATAGTGAATTGACGTATCCACTAGACCATGACACCTCAATGCTTTATAAATTTGTTTTAGAAGCAATGTAAAAGACACAATTATCTTTTGCCTTCCAATAATTATGAACCGTGTGATCTTTCAAGTATTTTCACTATGCAAGCAGTGGTATATTTTTAGCCAGTTCCATTTTGGGAATGGGAGACAGATGTACAACCAGGATCCTGTTGCATAAAAGATTTGTCTCACAGAGCGCTCACCTCATTCTTTCCTTGTTTCAGCAGAGGTCCAGGTAGGTAGTAGTTCTGCTGAGGTCCAACGTTCCAGTAGCGACCGAGATTGAACCCGTTGATGAAGATCACTCCTTTCTCCCAACCCTGGAGGAATAAAACAACATGTGAAGCCATTTAATACATTAGGGCCCCCGTCTTTAACTCTTATCCTGCCACAGGGCTAATCCCCATTGTGCCAAGCCACAAATCCCCCCAGTGCCAAGTTTATTTTGAGATCATCGGATTAACGCGAGATACTATCAATAGCGTGTGCGAAACACTAGGTACAGTACAATGGGCATGAACAATAACTGCTATTACGAATGCTTGCAAACATGCAAGAAGCAGAGAAGCAGTAGCTTGCTCGCTTGTACAAAGCACTATAAACGGTAGCGTGCATGCAGCCTTATGGCAGGATATGAGTTAATACAAAAAGTTACTCTTGATCCAAATCAATCGTAAGTCCTCCAACCGATCGCAAGTTTCCAGTCTCCTATCTCTTATGTACATAGTTGCGATTCATATCAACTCTTGTATCCATCCAACATCAATATGTCCTAATAGATGATCCAACATTTCCTCCAGCAATGGCCCGTCCTATAAAGAACTGCAATTAATCGCAACTTATTTGCATTTGATATGAATCGCAACTATGTACATAAGAGATAGGAGACTGCAAACTTGCGCTTGATTCGGATCAATCTCAACTCTTTGTAATACGGGGCCTGTATAGAGGTAGGGTTCCGGTTGGTTTTTAGGTTAGGTTTAGGGTTGGGTTAAGGGTTGAAAGTAGGAATTCTGTTAGTGTGTCACAGGAACATGTGTGGCACAACCGGTCTAAACATCAGTTTGTTAAATTCTCCAATTCTCCAAGACCAGTATTCACAAATGCATCCTAACTGAAGCCCAGGTTATAGTGGATGAGTTAGTCCACTGACCAATTGTCCTCCTTATCCCATACCAATGACTATATTTCTGCAACTAAATTAGCAAATAAAAACATGACATTTCTCTTTTAAAGATGCAATGTATATAGGGGTATATACATGTAAGTAGTGTAATTGGTCAATTTCATATCAATATTTTGATCAGCTGCCATATTTTACATTCATCTATCCACCATGCATTACAAGTAGATTAATTGTGTGTGTCCAATAACTGTGTCATCATTACAGTTATTACCATCATCATCATATAGACGATTCCACGGGGGCGTTTCACAAAACTTGTCATCAGTGAAAAATGACAGTTTTTGTTATAAGCTACTGAAATCCTTGCTTCTGATTAGTTATCAGCAGATTTGTCACTGATTTTTGTCATTTGTCATTGAAAAAAGGCATTGTGAAACGGGACCACATGTCACTGGACTTTTCCCAACGACTATTTAGAGGAAAAATGTCTGAAATGTTCTGTTCTTCTAATAGTTGTTCAGGGATAGATAAATTTATAAACTGGGCTTAACTTTAGAATACCCCACCGATACTAATAGGGTTAATGTATATAAACGTCAAAGACCTACGGTTAGGGTTAGGGCTAGGATTAGGTTTAGTGTTACTTAGAAAGCTCAAGGTCTTGAGATTTAGCTTTATTGGTGAAGCATTTGGTACCCTAGGAACGTTTGGTCAATTTTTGTGGTGGGGTATTCTAAAGTTGTTCCATAAACTGTTTACTGACCTTCATAACCACAAAAGTGTCTTTAGGCTGGCTATCCTGGATGTCTAACGTTGCCCTATAAAGGGCGGGCTGCTTCTCATGTCCGTCAAACGCAGTCCACTTCTTAGAAGATGAAACACTGTCAAAATGAGATGACACCAAAGAAATGATTTTATGAATATCAAGCTTACATCATAGTGCTGTCAAGAATGGAACCTATGGAAAATGAAAATATCGAGTCATCCATTATTGCAGTAAATACAAATAAAAGTTTAAATCACTTTTAATTGGTGCTGTGACGTTCTGCTAAAAAATGCACATGAGTAAAAAATAAACACATACATAAATAATAGGGCAACATGTACATGAAGACAATATCAAGAATAAATAGCCCTATTAGTTTGCTGACACCAAGCTAACGGATGACTGTTATTAGAACATCGCAAGTTCCCCCCTCCCCCCTCCCTGGCTTATATGCTTGCGAATGTATACCTTTTTTTCTTCAAATGTCATATTAACGCAAACATACTGCCATTTCTACTACCGTAACTGATGCAGCATGTGCATGCAAAGAAGTAGCAGTGTACTTACGCTTCCATGAAATGAGTTTTAAACTCTAGGGGATACATCTCCCATTTCTCTTGTTTCTTGTCATTGATCTTTACATCTCCAAGAATACCTAGATATAAAAAAAAACATGTAACCTCTTTAATTGGGCATACATTGTATATTTAAAGATAAAGGTGAGTTCTGGTAAAAAAAAGAAAATCAATTCTCACAGAATCAAACGAAAATGACACTGAATTTTCAAGATTACAAATAAATGTCATTTGCCGAACAATTTTGGTAGAAAATGTATACTGGCTGAGTAACGAGCATAGAAAGATTAGGAAATCAAGGTTAGTAGCCCCGACACCATTTGTGTAGTCCCATATACATCTTTCTGTGTACAGTGCTTGTTACTTGTTATTGGCTGTGAGCAGATTTGTCATAGATATGTGGCAGTTGTCATTGATATTAAGTTTTATGAAACAGGGTCAGGGTCATGCAACAGCATTGTGAAAGAAACTCAGGAACAACTGGGAATGGTGGATTATGTTGTACGTAAGAATTGATGTATACTGTAAGGACTCGTAATTATAAAAATGATAAGAAAAGGACTCCATCTTCTTGAAATGATTTTCTGAAAACACAAACAAAAATGGGTGTATGAGCCCACTCAAAAGATTAGTTCAATCTCTTCAGCTACTGGTACATGTCTTTTTCGCAATATTTTGAATATGAGAGTATTTGCAATGGACATTCCTTTCATATACAATATTTTCCTTAACTGACACAATAGGGAAAGAAGGAAGGAGAGATGGAGGGAGGTGGGGAGGTGGGGGGGGGGGGGGGAAGGAAGGGAGAGAGATATACAGTGCGTCCCAGAAAAAACGAAACCGAGAACTATCGATGTTTTATCGATAATTCTCGGTTTCGTTTTTTCTGGGACGCACTGTATATGTATAGAGAGAGTGACTGGAGATATGCATGTGATATCAAAAATATTATTTTGATATGGGTTTTCACCGGATTACTGACCTTTTTTCTCATGCTGGAGATGCTTGTCATAGTTGACTCTGCCGAGGTTCTCAACAAGTATGTCCAGTACATTGTCTGTATCCTTCCCAGTCTGTATGGGGGCACAGTAAGGTAATATTTCAGCATGGATTTACACTATGATTACGATTTCAATATCTTAGGATTAATCAAGAAACTCATTTTATTAAATAATTTACCTTACACTAAGTACATATTGTTGCGTATTGTTCAATTTCAATGTTCTTTTTATACAATACATGCAAAGCGAATAATCACACTGTGCCACATTGTATGTACCATGGCACCATGAAGTTGTGTGATCTAATGTTAGTTAAGTTAACATTTAATATTTCATTAATCTTAAGTATGTTGAATATTAATTTAAATTATTTGTATGCGCCTTGAGCATCTCTAGAGATGGATATGTTGCGCTTCATGAATATTGTTATTATTATTATTATTATTACAGCATTCTGTCACTGTTAACATTCAGCATATTCATAACTTGCTTTATGCAATAGACCAGTTTACTAACATATTAACATTTATGGATGTTTCTCTCTTCGGGACCTAGCAACGAGTCATTTCATTCACCTGTAATTAATAAATGAACTACAATACTTGGAATCCAGTCTGCATACATTACTTGTTGCTATGTTGGACAAGCCTCTGGCAAGATTTTGGGTTGTCAAGAACAACCTTTTGTTTAACAATATTTATGCATAATATTTGAATGTGTTAGCAAACCGGTCTATTGGAATAAATTGATGAAATAGACACCAAAGAAGCAACAAGGGGAATGGGAAAAAAGGGCCTAAACTTTGTATCTTCAGGAAAAAGCATTTCAAAATTCAAAATGTCATGATTATCATGACTGGTTATCCTAAAAAATATTTGAAATTAAATGAAATTAGAAAATGATAGTAAATCATTAAAATACCAGCATTTAAAACAAAAATTATCAAAATGATTTTGTAAGGCTGTCTCTTGTATTCTCTTATAGGCTGACATCAAATTCAGGTCAATTCATTCAAGCAAGTTCTACTGTATATTACAAACAAAATTTATTTAAAAATAGTTTGTGGAGATAATTGTTGCCAAGGTAACTTACTGTGATCTTTAAACCCCAGTCTTCCTCTTCAGTCTTTCTCATCAATACACCAACCTCATCACCATTCAAAAGAACCTGCAAATAAATATACAAACCATGTGAATTTATATTGGCTATTTAAAACACCAACCTCATATCCATTCAGAAGAACCTGCAAACAAAAATAAAAACCTAATGAATTTATATTGGCTATTTAAAACACCAACCTCATATCCATTCAGAAGAACCTGCAAACAAAAATGCAAACCTAATGAATTTATATTGGCTATTTAAAACACCAACCTCATCACCATTAAGAAGTACCTGCCATGAAAATGCACAACAATCAGTGATGAAATTCCATGCTCATGCATTAAGATTTCCTAAGATCCTTTATCCCGACACCATTCATCTGTTCAATTCTATTAAAAGCAAGACGTGTTTGATTACTATGAACTTACCATGTCAATGTATTAATATAAATGTCATATATATACATTTCAAACATATGCCATGGATGTTGCATCAAACTATCAATTACCGATTGAGCCAGTAATATGAAATCAATAAAGTTAACAATAATATTGATGTCGGTAATAATTACCGGTATATAACTGAAAATGGTAATCAATAATAATGATAATAATAATACAAAATAATAAAAATAATAATTTTGTGTATTTATTATCATTTTAAGATTTACTCATTTACTCATAATGTGCATCAATTTAAAAAGGAACTTCAAAGGGTCACCAGTCACTAAACTATGTTTATCTTTAGAACTTTGAGCATATCTCAAACGAATCATACATGGCGATCGGATTAACCGCACCTTTTTGCCGCCGAAAAAAATTCAAAGTCGGGGGTGCGGTTTATACACGGTACACCAAAAAAAAAGGCGCTATGCCTGGCAATGTCTCCCAGTTCAGTAATCGGTGTGTTGACTCACCAATCGGAAACTAAAACAACACTCAAATTTGTCTTGGTTTGAAAGTAATCTTTCTGATAGATTTCAATATGTAGTTTATAATAATAATTCCTCCAATTTTTCTTCTATTACACGGCGTACCACAAGGTTCTATCCTAGGTCCTCTACTGTTTTTTAAGTCGGCGAGAAAGAAGGGCGGTTTATACAACGTTAATTACGGTAATCAGTTCATTGGCTCTGCAAGATACATACATGACTCAAGTTTGGCAGGAATCCATTAAATGGGTTCTTGAGATAACGCGATCACAAGAACGGCACGTACGGATGGACGGACAGACAACCCGAAAACATAATGCCTCCGGCTACTCTGTAGCGGAGGCATAACAAAAGAGCGGCCCTAATACAAGTTTTTAGATTTTCACTGTTTTAATGTTCTGGGACCCGTTTCTCAAAGCCTTTTTTCAATGACAAATGACAAATATCAGTGACAAATCTGCTGATAACCAATCAGAAGCAAGGATTTCAGTAGCTTATAACAACAACTCACATTTGTCACTGATGACAAGTTTTGTGAAACACTCCCCAGTACTATACCTGAGCTCTGTCTCTGGGTGATCTTGAGAGGGCAAGTTTGGTTGGTTTGGTATTAACCCTGGTCCTGTACAGCAGGAATCCATAACCCTGACCACCCCCGTTGTTGATTGGAAGCTTCTCCATGGGAAGTATGTCATCATTGTAAATGGGCTTCTGCATTGTTGAAAAAGGGGGGAAAAAAACAGGAGGGATTGAAAACATACTAATATGACTTGTCTAGATCTGAGTAATACCGTATATCTCTGTGTATAAGACGCACTTTTTTACGTCGTCGGAGGTGCGTCTTATAGACAGGTACAGGATATTTTGAGTCCTCAACATGCTACTTTTTAGTGGTTTTTGACCATCTCTGGGTCTCAATATAAATAAAATAATGCTAATAAAGAATAGGATCTACTATTTAAAGATAACCTACATTCCTAATTTGAAGGGAAGAGAGTTTTTAATGCAACTTGCCGGCCGACGCATACCCGTGCCCGGAAGAGCACCGGCATGGTCCCAGCTTACTCACACTGGATGTCCACTCACCATTCAAACTATAGCCTATGTCCGAATTTCTGTATGGACTCGGAGGAAAATTTTTCTGTCATCTTTAGTTTTTGTATTGTCTTCATGTACATGATGCTCTATTAGGCCTTAACTAAAAAGATGTTGTATTGCCCTTTAGGTGCCAAAACATGGGACGGTTGGTCAAGAGTCTTTTTTTTTCCCTCTTTGGGCTGATATTTCTCAGTTTTAAATGCTTAAATATTTTTTTTCTCTAAAAAACATTAAATTTTTTTTTTTTTAAAGCCGACCGTAGATTTCATGATTTTTGGGTCGGTCGCAAAGGGCAATACAACATCTTTTTTTTTAGGCTTTATTTATGCGATTTTTAAATATTTCTATACATGTAGATTTTTAGCAGAATGTCAAAAATTAAACTTGAAATCCTATAGAGTGGTAAAGTGTGACGTCATAAAAATTCTATTTTTAAAATTTCTCAATTTTTTCTTCATTTTCTGGCTCCTAACCATTAGGAGCCGGAGTATATAACACTGAATTCCTATAGGAAATATATTCATTCAGATGGTTATATATCAGCCAATACTTAACATATTCAATCGGTTTTCAACATTTGGACATTATTTTTGATGCTCTTTCGGAAAATGAAGACAAAATTGAGTCATTCTAAAAATAGATTTTGATGACGTCACAGCTTCCGTACTCTATACTGACTTACCCCACTGATCTCTAGTAAAGCAGCCAATGACATCGTCTCGTGAACTTTAACCTCTGTGTAAGCCACTTTACCAATAGCAACAGGAAGCTCTGGCAAGCTACTGGGAACTGAACCAAAACAACAAAAATCACTAAATTGATCGCATGCTCTCCTTCTCATAAAAAGTTTATTATTTACAATTTCATAACTTAAGACTCAATTTCAACCGCGACAACGATCACTGAATATTGTAGGATGGCATACTGTAATTAATGGTGTATTAACCGCACCTTTTTGCCGCTGAAAAAAATTAAAAGTTGGGAGTTCGGTTTATACATGGTACACCCAACAAAATTAAGTTTCAATTTATGGCGCTATGCCTTGCAATGTCTCCCAGCTCAGTAATCGCTGTTGACTCACCACTCGGAAACTAAAACAACACTCAAATTTGTCTGTCATCTTGGTTTGAAATTAATCTTTCTGATTGATCTCAATATGTAGTTTACAATAATAATTCCTCCAATTTTTCTTCTATTACATGGTGTACCACAAGGTCCTATCCATGTCCTCTACTGTTTTTTTAATTTACATTAATGATCTTACACATTCAGCTGGACCTCGCAGTTAAATGAAAGGCCTTCCTGCGTGGGTTTTTTAACACGGACCCGGCAAAAAAAGTCGGCAAAAAAAATAAAAAAATTATAGGGCGAAAAAGAGGGGTACGGTTAATACACAAGGGCGGTTTATACACCTTTAATTACGGTATGCTTCCTATATGTTCATTTGAACCAAATTCATGACCCCATACCAAAACTTTGTATTACCTTTAATGTCTCTGAGAACAATATACATGGGCGGGAACGTTGCTGAAAAATTGATTTTAAAAATCTCAATGTGTTGCCAATTTAAGGATTGTAAAGCTTATTTTCCATTTTAAAATTCCTGGTATCAAACACAAGATAGTCATGAAACAAAAATGGATGCAGTATGTGCAGAAACTTTTGCCCTTTCTACTCATGCATTTGGCATATTTTGTAGGGCTCTGAAGCAAAAGTTATTGAACCAAAGCACAAAATGTGGAATGGCTGTCGCGAAAGGGTTATCCCTGCATGGGTTATTTGAGTAGTTATAATTATATTTGCTTATATGGCGCCTAACACTTACTTTATCAGAAGTCTCTAAGCGTTCTACAATAATACAGCATAATTACCCTGGCTTTAGCAGTGCAGCTGTTACGCGCGCTGCGTTTCAAGGAATAAATTCCTACCAGGTACCCATTTACTTCACCTGGGTGGAGTGTGGCAATTGTAGATCAATGTCTTGACAAAGGACATTTGTGCGGCGACGGGATTCGAACCGCGGACCTTGTGATCGACAGTCCGGCGACGTATCCACTCGACCACAACACCTCTAGTTATACATCTATTGACCTACCTCTTCCTTTAGGCGCATGTTTCTGGATCATTTCTTTGATCTGGAAGAACTTCTCTGTCGGCTCGCCAGACTCTGAGAGAGGAGCATCGTAATCTGAGGGAGGCATATTCAAAACTCTGATTGAATCTACGATCCGCAGCACTGCTTGTTTTTCTTCATGTTGCCCAATAACTTTTCTTCCTGTTGCCCAATAACTTATCATCATCCTATAGTACCCTCATTTTCTTGATTTTCTTAGTAGTACTGGGGATTGTTTCAAAAAGACTAAGATCGGATTTAAGTTGGACTAAACTATGGCAGGCCATTTATGCCGCTGGTTGCTCTCACCATTATGGTCTTTAGATAAGATTTTTTCCTTCAATAATGAACTATCAACAAAACTAAATTCTGTAGATTTGTGACCTTGATTTGTAAGTCTCTTGAGAGACCAATGCCAGTTAATGGTGAAAGAAAACAGTGGCATGAACGGCCTGCCATAGTTAAGTCCAACTTGAAGTCAATCTTAATCTTTGTGAGACGCTCCCCTGGTATTCAATGGGTTAAAATTTCATACAAATACAATATTTTAAAACGAATGTAAGAGATAAAGCTAAGTACACTTTCCAGAAAAACTTTTAAATCGTTTTTTTCTCGATAAGAATATATCAATGAATGTACATGGAAGGGTGGATTCCAACCCATTCCCCCCCCCCTTTCCTCCCAACTATCCCTAATGGATTATTACATTTGACCATGCTACATCTTTTAATGACATTATTACAGTCATGTTGAAGTATCATTTTTCATAATTGTGATCATTTTGTTAATACCCAGGGAAGCCTTATCAGTGCTGTTCTTCCTGAGAGCCCTGCAATTATTATTACCCCAGCAATTGTCAGGTGACCATTTACACCTGGGTGGAGAGCAGCAAATGTGGAGTAATGTGTTGCCAAAGAACCCTTGACCTTTTGATTAAGAGTCAAGTGGATGAACCGCTAAACGACGATTCCTCCACATGATATTATGTACAAATGAGCAGATATAAAACAGGAATAAAATACTATTTTAGAGCATACCATAGCTTGTTATAGTGGGCTTATAGATGCCCTTGTCCACATTCCCTCCGTTCATAAATCCAAAGTTAGTTCCACCGTGGTACATGTAGAAGTTTACAGAGCCTCCGCTGACCAGTATGGCCTTGGTCAATTCAGCAATGCCATCCGCCTTGTAGATGTGATGGTTCTCACCCCAGTGGTCAAACCAGCCTGACCAGAACTCCATGCTCATTAAGGGAAGATTATCACCCTGGATAGAATAAGAGAGAGAGAGGAGGGGCAGGCAGGGAGATAAAGATAGAGAGGTGGAGAGAGGAAGAAAGAAGAGGACGAGGAGGAGAACGAGGAGGGGGAGAACGAGGAGGGGGAGGAGAACGAGGAGGGGAAGGAGAACGAGGAGAAAAGAAGGAGGAAGAGGAGGAGGAGGAGGAGGAAGAAGAGAAAGAAGAAGAAGAAGAAGAAGAAGAAGAAGAAGAAGAAGAAGAAGAAGAAGAAGAAGAAGAAGAAGAAGTAGTAGTACAAGAAAACAAAAAGAAGAAGAAGAAGAAGAAAGGGGTGGGAGAAAGAGTTTACCAGAGAGGGGACAAAGAGAGAAAGTTGGAGGGGAAAAATATGGTTCAATATAAGGTTGAGAAAGATTGATTTATTAAGGCATGAGATATTTATTATTGCTGTCGTTCCGATGCAGGATCCTGCAATGCGCGCTCCAGAACGATCGGCGCAATGATCAGTGACAGGAGTACAAATATTATACAACACTGCGCCAGAACGCGTCGGCGTGATAATCGTCCGACTGCAGTAGGATTAATTGATTTAATAAATATACGCGCAGCGCTGGCAAGCCGGTACACTGTACATGCGCACGACACAAAATTATGTAGCGAGTGTCCCGACATTGACATTTCTATATTATAAACAAGTCGGAGTTAAAATAACTTCTACCACAGCTGTGCGTGTGTTTATAAACATGACATTTACTAATAATTTCTACGTACAATCGTGCGTTTGTTAATAAACATGACGGAGTTAAAATAATTTCTACTACAACTGTTTGGTTGTTTTTAAACATGACGGAGTTTAAAATAATTTCTTCTAAGACCGTGTGTTTGTTTATATTACATGACGGAGTTTAAATAACTTCTACTACAAATTATGTGCGTTTGTTTATGAGCATCACGGAGTTAATATAATTTCTACCACAATTGCATGTGTGTAATTTGTTTATAAACATTACATTTAAAAATGATTTCTACTACAAATATGCGTTTGTTTATAAACATGATTAATCATGGAGTTAAAATAATTTCTACTACAACTACCGGTATTTGGTTGTTTTTAAACATGACAGAGTTTAAACGTATTTGTTCTAATTAAGACCGTGTGTTTGTTTATAAACATGACGGAGTTTAATAACTTCTACTACAAATTCTGCGTTTTTTTATAAGCATGACAGAGTTTAAGTAATTTCTACTGCTACAAGTACAACTGTGCGTAATTTGTTTATAAAAATGACAGAGTGAAATAAATTGTACTACAACCAAGAAGACTGCTACAATTACCAGGGTATGTGAGTTTCTAAGGGTGCGTTTAATCGACACTTTTTCACCCTAGAATCACGGTTTCTAAAGACGTTTAGTTTAAAACGCAATGCGTTCAAGCGATTTTTTCGTCGGTCGTAAAAATAAACGTGTTTGAAAACACAAACATGAAACGCTGAAAAAGATGCGTTTTGTATCATGATTCTGCAGAATCACGGTCGCTAAAATTCGATTGAACGGACGGAGTTCTCAATCATGATTGTATGACGGAGCCTGTTCCGGTTTGGGCAAAAACCGCGCGCCTGCTTTTCATGCAATTTGCGTTTACTATACCATGCTCTTTATCATGGCCTGTTCCGTTATGTTATACCTTGTTTTCCTCTTTTTCTCTTTCTGTCTTTCCTTATGTTATTCTTTGTTTCTTCCTTCTATTCTTATGTTATTGTTTGTTTTTTTCCTTCTATCACCTTCTCTTATGTTATTCTTTATTTTTTATAATTCTATCACTTTCTCTTTCTGTCTTTCCTTATGCTATTCTTTGTTTCTTCCTTCTATTCTTATGTTAATCTTTGTTCTTTTCCTTCTATCACAGTTTCTTATGTTATTCTTTGTTTTAATCATTCTATCACTTTCTCTTTCTGTCTTTCCTTATGTTATTCTTTGTTTCTTCCTTCTATCACCTTCTTTTATGTTATTCTTTGTTTTTTACCTTCACTCACAGTCTCTTATGTTATTCTTTGTTTTAATCATTCTATCACTTTCTCTTTCTGTCTTTCCTTATGTTATTCTTTGTTTCTTCCTTCTATCACCTTCTCTTATGTTATTCTTTGTTTTTATAATTCTATCACTTTCTCTTTTGTTATTCTTTGTTTCTTCCTTCTATTCTTATGTTAATCTTTGTTTTTTTCCTTCTATCAGCTTTTTTAATGTAATTCTTTGTTTTAAGCATTCTATCACTTTCTCTTTCTGTCTTTCCTTATGTTATTCTTTGTTTCTTCCTTCTATTCTTATGTTATTCTTTGTTTTTTCCTTCTATCACCTTCTCTTATGTTATTCTTTATTTTTATAATTCTATCACTTTCTCTTTCTGTCTTTCCTTATGTTATTCTTTGTTTCTTCCTTCTATTCTTATGTTGATCTTTGTTCCTTTCCTTCTATCACAGTTTCTTATGTAATTATTCTTTGTTTTAATCATTCTATCACTTTCTCTTTCTGTCTTTCCTTATGTTATTTTTTTGTTTCTTCCTTCCATCATCTTCTCATTCTTTGTTTTATTATTGCGATCTATGCTCAAAACAGCAGTCGACAGTCGGCCGTAAACAATTCCAAAAAGCGCGCGCCGAAGTTGACCTATACTTCCTGGGTCAAACTGCGAGTGTGATCCGCAGTGGCTGGGCTCGAAATGAACTAGAATCAGCGTTGATGAAAAATCGCTTGAACGCTAACCGCAGTGACCTTGTTTTTTGTAACGGCGTTTTGATTTGTGATTCATGTTTGTGATTCTAGCTTCGAAAATTCGATTGAACGCACACCTCCCTGCTACAACTGTGCGTTGGTTATAAACGCGACAAAATAATTTCTACTAGATCTAAATCTACATCCGAACACACATGACGGAGTTATGATAGAATTTCTAGGTCATCACAACTGAACCCAACGCTATATCCACACACACACAAAAAAACATGTGCTCAGATAATGTCCAACACACTGCTTGGGCGTACGTTGGTGGGCGGTGTTAATTGCAAGCCTGTGCCAATCGATAATCAGCTTTGAGACTAATTTCTTTAAAAGTTTATCGGAGTGCTACTGTATATCCAAATCATAATGAAACTGTCTTCTACTCGAAAAGGGTCTTCTCATTGGCTAAATAATAATTTGCAAGTTTATTTTTTGAAAGCAAATGTTTGCTTGTTTTCAGTTGTCATTTATTCTCCTGAGGTATTCCAAGTGGTATGAAGTCTGAATTGGCAGACTATACAAGCCCTGTAACTTCTTGGTTTCAGCTGGCTGGGGCGTGTCATATATCTTAGATAAGAACTGTCAAAACATGTCTGGGAAATGTAATCACGTACTGTAACCATGGAGATCTCTTCTTATATCTCCATGCTGTAACCCCTCTTACTTTTATGACAATGAGATTGCCATCCAGGGGGGGGGGGGGGGGGGGGGGAGGATTTTGATGTGAAATATTTTCAATCAAAAGTCGCCACCATATTATGTTCTACCTCATTTTCTTTTTCTTTCGCAATTTTGGAATCCTTTCATATAAATATATATTTTAAGTCATGACCTTTTTATACAGGTATGCGAATTTTATATTTTTGACGTAACCTCAAAGGGGCGAGTTAAAAGCACACAGCTATGATGACAATTTGGCAAATCCAAATTCATAATTACTATCGTTTTGTCTACAACTAGTTCATCTAATAAACAAGGAATTACACCCAAGAGTCTGTTGGCCATTGGATAGGCCATGAATTCTTGTCGAACATGGAGACTTTTTGCGATCGGGGGCGGGGGAACTGAATTCAGACAAGGATTATTTTTTAATTTTTTTTGAATTTGTTTTTTATTGGGTGCTCAAACATAACATGAAAGCCAACTTGCTGTTTACAATCATGTACAGGAATGTGAAATGACAAAAACATCATATAGTCCACTACAACTCAAATATAAACTTTTTAAAATGGAGGCTTAACTTGCCATATTTGGCTGCAATTACATATTCAGATTTAGACTTAATTTTTATCCTAAATATAAGACCATGAAAATTTGGTTTCTCTTTCTTAAATTTGCAGCAGTGAATGTATACACAGAAGAAAGAAATTTATATATATTGAATTTTGATAGTCCTTGGGACAACCAAACATTCTTTCAAAGCTTCCGCGCGGGGGAGGGGGGGGGGGGGGTACTAAATTCAGACAAGTATTAAGAGTCGATAAATGTAAACGAATCCTCTTCTTTCTCTAATAATGTAATGAAATGTCAGAGCTTCCACGCTTCGCGCTGGAGTGGGGGGGGGGGACTGCATTCAGACAAGCATTAATAGTCGAGAACGGTACAACGAATCAACTTCTTACTCTAATAATTTAATGAAATGTCAGAGCTTCCACGCTTCGCACTGGAGGGGGGGGGGGGAACTGAATTCAGACAAGGATTAATAATCGAGAACGTTACAACGAATCGTCTGCTTTCTCTAGTAATTTATTGATGTCAAAGCTTCCGCACGGGACGGGGGGGGGGGGGACTAAATTCAAACAAGGATTAAGAGTCAAGAACGGTACAATGAATCGACTTCTTTCTCTTTTAATTTAAGGAAATGTCAAAGCTTCCGCACGGGACTGGGGGGGGGGGGCTGAATTCATACAAGGATTAAGAGTCAAGAACGGTACAACGAATCGTCTTCTTTCTCTAGTAATTTAATGACATGTCAAAGCTTCCACGCTTCGCACTGGAGGGGGGGGGGGGGGGGGGGGAACTGAATTCAGACAAGGATTAATAATCGAGAACGGTACAACGAATCGTCTGCTTTCTCTAGTAATTTAAGGAAGTGTCAAAGCTTCCACGCTTCGCACTGGAGGGGGGGGGGGGGGAACTGAATTCAGACAAGGATTAATAATCGAGAACGGTACAACGAATCGTCTGCTTTCTCTAGTAATTTATTGATGTCAAAGTTTCCGCACGGGACGGGGGGGGGGGGGGGACTAAATTCAAACAAGGATTAAGAGTCAAGAACGGTACAATGAATCGACTTCTTTCTCTAGTAATTTAAGGAAATGTCAAAGCTTCCGCATGGGACGGGGGGGGGGGGGTGGGGGCTGAATTCAGACAAGGATTAAGAGTCAAGAACGGTACAACGAATCGACTTCTTTCTCTAATAATTTAATGACATGTCAAAGCTTCCACGCTTCGCACTGGAAGGGGGGGGGAACTGAATTCAGACAAGGATTAATAATCGAGAACGGTACAACGAATCGTCTGCTTTCTCTAGTAATTTATTGATGTCAAAGTTTCCGCACGGGACGGGGGGGGGGGGGACTAAATTCAAACAAGGATTAAGAGTCAAGAACGGTACAATGAATCGACTTCTTTCTCTTTTAATTTAAGGAAATGTCAAAGCTTCCGCACGGGACTGGGGGGGGGGGGCTGAATTCATACAAGGATTAAGAGTCAAGAACGGTACAACGAATCGTTTTCTTTCTCTAGTAATTTAAGGAAATGTCAAAGCTTCCGCATGGGACGGGGGGGGGGGGGGGGTGGGGGCGGAATTCAGACAAGGATTAAGAGTCAAGAACGGTACAACGAATCGACTTCTTTCTCTAATAATTTAATGACATGTCAAAGCTTCCACGCTTCGCACTGGAGGGGGGGGGGGAACTGAATTCAGACAAGGATTAATAATCGAGAACGGTACAACGAATCGTCTGCTTTCTCTAGTAATTTATTGATGTCAAAGCTTCCGCACGGGACGGGGGGGGGGGGGACTAAATTCAAACAAGGATTAAGAGTCAAGAACGGTACAACGAATCGACTTCTTTCTTTAATAATTTAATGACATGTCAAAGCTTCCACGCTTCGCACTGGAGGGGGGGGGGGGACTGAATTCAGACAAGGATTAATAATCGAGAACGGTTACTACGAATCGTCTTCTTTCTCTAGTAATTTAATGAAATGTCAAAGCTTCCACGCTTCGCGCTGGAGGGGAGTGGGGGACTGAATTTAGATAAGCATTAATAGTCGAGAACGGTACACAAATCGTCTTCTTTCTCTAATAATTTCCGAAATGTCATATTTCCGCCTTGGATGGGGGGGGGGGGGGGGGGGACTGAATTTAGATAAGCATTAATAGTCGAGAAATCGTCTTCTTTCTCTAGTAATTTAATGATTATGTCAAAGCTTCCGCACGGGACGAGAGGGGGGGGGGACTGAATTTAGATAAGCATTAATAGTCGAGAAATCGTCTTCTTTCTCTAATATTGAAGGAAATGTCATATCTTCCGCGCGGGACGGGGGGGGGGGGGGGGGGTGGACTGAATTCAGACAAGGATTAAGAGTCAAGATCGGTACAACGAATCGTCTTCTTCCTCTAATAATTTAAGGAAGTGTCAAAGCTTCCACGCTTCGCACTGGAGGGGGGGGGGGAACTGAATTCAGACAAGGATTAATAATCGAGAACGGTACAACGAATCGTCTGCTTTCTCTAGTAATTTATTGATGTCAAAGCTTCCGCACGGGACGGGGGGGGGGGGGGCTAAATTTAAACAAGGATTAAGAGTCAAGAACGGTACAACGAATCGTCTTCTTTCTCTAGTAATTTAATGAAATGTCAAAGCTTCCACGCTTCGCGCTGGAGGGGAGTGGGGGACTGAATTTAGATAAGCATTAATAGTCGAGAACGGTACACAAATCGTCTTCTTTCTCTAATAATTTCCGAAATGTCATATTTCCGCCTTGGATGGGGGGGGGGGGGGGGGGGACTGAATTTAGATAAGCATTAATAGTCGAGAAATCGTCTTCTTTCTCTAGTAATTTAATGATTATGTCAAAGCTTCCGCACGGGACGAGAGGGGGGGGGGGGGGACTGAATTTAGATAAGCATTAATAGTCGAGAAATCGTCTTCTTTCTCTAATATTGAAGGAAATGTCATCTTCCGCGCGGGACGGGGGGGGGGGGGATGGACTGAATTCAGACAAGGATTAAGAGTCAAGATCGGTACAACGAATCGTCTTCTTTCTCTAATAATTTCATGAAATGTCAAAGCTTCCGCACGGGACGGGGGGGGGGGGGGGGGGTGGGGCTGAATTGATACAAGGATTAATAATCGAGAACGGTATACAACGCCAATCGTCTTCTTTCTCTAGTAATTTAATGTAACGTCAAAGCTTCGCGCAGGAGGAGGGGGGGGGGCTGAATTCAGACAAGGATTAAGAGTCAAGAACGGTGCTACGAATCGTCTTCTTTCTCTAAAAATTTCATGAAACCGCAAAGCTTCCGCACGGGACGGGGGGGGGGGGGGTGGGGCTGAATTCAGACAAGGATTAAGAGTCAAGAACTGTACTACGAATCGTCTTCCTTCTTTAAAAATGTAATGAAATGTCAAAGCTTCCGCACGGGACGGGGGGGGGGGGGGGGGGACTGAATTCAGACAAGGATTAAGAGTCAAGAACGGTACAACGAATCGAGTTCTTTCTCTAATAATTTAATGATATAAAGCTTCCACGCTTCGCACTGGAGGGGGGGGGGGAAACTGAAATCAGACAAGGATTAATAATCGAGAACGGTACAACGAATCGTCTTCTTTCTCTAGTAATTTAATGAAATGTCAAAGCTCCCACGCTGCGGCTGGAGGGGAGGAGGGGGGCCGGGGGGGGGGGGGGTGGACATTAATAGTCGAGAACGGTACAACGAATCGTTTTCTTTGTGTAATAATTTAATGAATATTTATTGTCACTAAACAGAGATCCATATTTGACTATTCATTAAAATACTGCAGAAAAGGGATTTAATTCTAAAATCACCACTGAGATAATTCGCTATCATGAGTCATGACTGGTATCGTGATCTTAGCATTGCGAACTTAAGACTCCTCAATCATATCGATCGTAACAATTTTTAATAAAATTGCTGAATTTTATAATCAAAATTTTGTATCATTGCTTCAATTTTCGAAAAAAATAACCGACATGACATGACAAGTAGGGCCTAATTCAAACAGGCACATCACAACCACACAAACACACAAACAAGCAACAAAATAGGCCTACACCGCGAATAGATCGAGGAGCTCAAAATGACTGTCTAAATAATAGGAACACTAGACAAGATTAGTTTCGCATTATTACGATTAGAATTTTATAAAAAGAATCATGGGTATTAAATAAATAACTTGATACTTTATCGTCTTTATTAACAATTGATTTTCACATCTATCCCGATTTTGACTCTCGTAGACTTAATTTCCCCATCAATCTATTCTCTCGCTCTTTCCCTCCCTCCATCTTCCAAGTGTACCCCTTCCTCTCCCTCTCTCTTGTCTCCATCTTTTCTCATGTTTGTTTATCAACACCCAAGGAATTGCGCGCAGGGCCTTTGTTCAAACAAAGTTCAAGGGTTCAAATGGGCGGCATTTGTCTCCTCGCATTCAAATCTCAAAATAGAACTCCATTCCAGTTCAGAATTGCGCAATATACCTCTCAGCCAAACATAGACAAAGGTTTAGATTTTAATGGGTCAAGATTTACGTGTCGATACGTCTTTTTTACACGAGGTCGTGGACAGAATTGAGGTTAGATTTATCATGGAATGTGTTGATAAAACCCAAGCAATTTATATTTTGCATACTTAGATCTATAGCTTGAAATTAAATTGTTAGCAAACAAACTTCACTATTGTAAAACCCATCGATCTATAGCTTGTAATAAAAACTAATCGCTCTAGCTCGCTCACTCCATTTGGCTTGCGCCTATGCATGCGCGGAGATAGCCAACGTGGCTAGCTAGGCTGAGAGTACGTAGCGGCCGCGCTGTGTCTTCAGCTAGCGCATCCTTATGATTGCTGTGCATGTGCGCACTGAAATTCGTCCTCCTGCGTCGCGATGATTTCAAACTAATAATTAAATTTGGAGACTGCAGTCAGGCAAAGTGCGCGTACCAAATTCGTCCTCTTGCGTCGCGACGATTTCAATTTGATAATTAAATTTGGAGACTGCAGTCAGGCAAAGTGCGCGTACCAAATCGGCGCCGATCGTTCCATGCAGGATCCTGCATCGGAACGACAGCAATAATAAATATCTCATGCCTAAAAATTCATATAATTAAATGGAAACAAAAATGAATACAAAAGGAAGCCCCTAATAAATATACAAAGAGAGAATTAAATAACTTTGTATTACACAAAAAGAAAATTACATATTTTCATTATATATATATATATATATATATATATAATTGCCTCAAACACAGTGGCCCGAACTAGAGGAGCAAAATAGTGACAGAACTATTTGAAATTCTAAAAAAACAAGTGTGAAAGATGAACATAAAGAACAGATAGATAGAATGGTTTATTTAAATCTAGATAGCTCACCTGTAAATCCTTTAAGTCTTTGAAATGTCTGGCCGCATGGTCTTGAAAGTTTGCCGTCATCAAAACTGAAGAAAAAAAGCACAACATAAAATTTTACATGAACACGCCGTTAGAGGAGTTTCCATAGAACATCTACTTGAAGCCAGGAGGGTATTCATAAGTAAATACAAGGGGTGTTTCACAAAGACTAAGATCGAATTTAAGTTGGACTTAACTATGGCAGGCCATTCATGCCACTGGTTGCTATCACCATTGGTCTCTCAATTATGATCTTTAGATAATATTTTTTCCTTCAATAATGAACTATCAAAAAATGTAAATTCTATAGATTTGTGACCATGATTTGTAAGTCCTTGAGAGTTGAGAGACCAATGCCAGTAAATGGTGAGAGCAAACAGTGACATGAATGGCCTGCCATAGTTAAGTCCAACTTAAAGGCAATCTTATTCTTTGTGAAACACTCCCCTGAAGCTGCAGTGTTTAAAGAGGTTTATTACAAACCTCCAACCAAAATCAAATGGGAACTGGAAAAGAATACCTGTATTTATTTTCTATACAAGAAAAATATTTGTATGTAATTCAAAATTAATTTGAACGTTATCTTTCCATTTGAGAATACCCCCTGCAGGGATATGAAAACGAAGCTAGTAGACATTTCTTACAAAGAAGTTTCAGAACATACAGTATGACTTTAAAATTTCACACACGATAAAAAACCACCACTGTATCTTTAGCCATACATTATCACTGCACTAGTTGTAGCGACTTGCGCCCTCTAAATAGTATTACAATGCCTAAGCGTTACCTGTTGAACCATGATCCCCCTTTTTCTTATGTTAATTGAGAGCTGATTTGACGAGATAACCTCCTACCAGTGACCTTGCAGGGAGGTCTAATCCCTCCCGGCCCAACAAGTGCAGGTAGGCTAATAACAGAGTAGGCATGTTAGGAAAGAATAATGCACGGTCACATGGTGTCATTTGACCAATTGAAGTGCCTACTTTCTAGAAGCAGTTTTATAGAATGACTTACAGGGGGGAAAATACACGGGGGCTCTGGGCAAATTAGCCCTGAAATGCCAAAAAGACCCCCTGAAAGTCATAAAAGAGCCCCAAAAATTTGCATAGAGTTCAATGCAAAACAAATTAAAGAGTGTTATTTTCATGCAAGCAAGCTTGAAAAGTAGCCCCCGAAATTGTTAAAGTATTTTTTTCCCCTGATGACTTACCCCCAGGTAGTCTGCCTCTCTCCATAGATTTCTTGGAATTATCAGATGTGACTAGCAGCTCCGTGACACCTCTCGCTACCATTGCCTGTAACAAGCAACAAGCATCAAAATCACAAACGTTAAAGATAAAGACCAGTTATGGTCATGCGATTGCATTGTGAAAGAAACGTTGTGGAATCGATCAGAAAAGGTTGATCATCTAGCATATAAGTATTGGTGTGCACTGCTAGGTTCTGGAATTATCAAAATGATAAGAAATTTGGCCCAGTCTAAAAAGTTACAAGCACTGTACACATAAAGATGTATATGGGACTATGCAACATGTGCATGACACGTGCGTTATATCTATCAGGTCCAAATAGATATAATATTGTACCAAATATATCAATTAGTAGGTGGTTTCTTAGCAAAATTTGTATCATTACGTATTAGTCAAGACATATTCTTTCACAGGATTGGTAATAAAAGCTTCCATTTCATTTTTTGAGAGGGGGGTGTTTTTACCTTTAAGACTGTAAAGGTTTATCGTCGTTCTGCAGCACGGCAAGTGAAAGCTTAACAAAACTTTTTTGACTGTGAATTATTAGACACAGAACACCATTCGTGTTAGGTCGATGAAAACTGCATCAAAAATACATTTAGGTGCTCCAAAATTATTGATCATTTTATAATGAATAAAAGTTACATTTCTATTGGTATACAAATGAAATTCACATTTCTACATAACATTCATTGATATTTTAGAGAAACATTTGAATAATACTGCATCCCGAAACAAACTTCATAAATGACACCCCTCCCCCCCTTCCTCCCAGCAAATTACGGTAATAAGGAATAGTCTCCAAACAACAGTTGAATTAATAAATTCAACTTAATTCAATATTAATATCAAATTCCATTCATTATTCAACATCCAATTCATTATTCAATATCCAATTTCATTCCATATATTTAATATCCAATTTGATTCAATCCAATTTAATCAATAAATACAAATAAAGTGCCCCCTCCTTTCAATAAACCTATGTTTAGCTCATAATTTGTACTTTGGACATACCTGTCACACAAAAAAGTATATGCAAAGATGTTCTTAATCAACATAAAATCAACATAAAATTAAACAAAATCTGTTTTTCATTTATTTTGTTGAAAATATACAATAATGCTGATGTACACATTTACATATTAACTTAACTTTAAAGGGGCAGTGTTATTAATTTGAACATAATATCTAATCTGACATTAATCATTTTATGACAGAACATAACACATCACAAGACACAACATGAGAATGAAAACCGATATTTCTTTCAAATCTTTGAACCAAAAAATTATTTTACATTACAAAACACAGATTTTACAATTATGCTGAAGTAAGTGTGATTTGTACTAATTAAAGAATGCCCAATTCAGACAATGTCTGAGAAGCCTCGTTTGAATAAGAAACAGCTGTTTCCTTTGTTTGCCAATAGAAGGCGATATTTGACTACACGTTCATTAAATGGGTTCTAGAACAATTACCCCCTGGTCAATCAGCCCCCCCCCCCAAGGACAATTACAATTATATAAGGACGAACTATTATTATTATTCCATATTATCTTGGAAATTTTTCAATAAAGCTTTATTAATAGGCAACCTAATGCCAGCTCATAACGGATTATTGCCATTACTGGTTCAGTGCCAATTTGGCTAGACAAATTGGCGTATCCCTTTTATCTCATTTTAGGGATTATCTACAGCAAGCAACCTTTACTATAGATGGGAGGGGGCACTGGAAATATTTGGCTGATGACATGCAAGAGATCAAGGGCATAGAGTAAGGGGTTGTGAGGGGGGTCAAATTAAATTCTCTAATCACTTTTATCAGTGCTTTTACCCCTCTTCCTTTCCCTATCCTCAATTATCTTTTTGTCAATTTGATCTGGAAAGCAACTGGTCCATGATCCTCATATGGCCTTATAAAGGGTAATCCAAACTTGTGTAATAAGTTCATTGGTATAAAAGCAGAAAAAAAAGATGAACAGATAAGGCAAAAAGTTGGAAATAAATTGGTCCAATAATAGGAAGTTATGAATGTTTGAAATATGAGATCACTAAATCTATATGCGAATCAGGAATTGAAGATTCCATACCTAAAGTGATTACAACTTACAAAATTCATAACTTTCTCAATTTTTGTCCAATTTCATTCAAAGTTACCAGTATAATTCTCTGATATTTCTGCTTTCCTCTAGAGTACTTTGCTATTAGGGTTGGATTTCTCTTTAAATGTGTTTAATAAAAGCTATACCGGGCATGGTGGCTCAGTGGTTAGAGCGCCCGCCTCATGAGTCATACCAAAGACTTATAACAATGGGACCTTCTGCCTTCTAGCTAGGTGCTCATCATATTAGATTGGAGAAGGGTAACATATTATGTTATGCAGGGCCCGCTGGAAGAGCAGTTTCATAACTGAATTGGCTACCCTGGGTAAATAAAACGTTATTATTATTATCATTATTATTATTATACAACAACTGAAGAGATTTCCACTCACCTCCTTAACGAACTCCATGTATGCAGTGCTGTCTCCAAACGATCCATACTCGTTCTCGACTTGGAATGATATGATAGGTCCTCCACGGTTGTACTGAGGGATCAAATAATAAGAACAATTAAGAACCAGACTTGTGTTTTCCACTAACCTATCTTCCACTCATACTGCTGCAATGTAAAGTGTAATACTTTCACCAAATCAGTTTTATTACCTTTCAGCATTATTATAGGTAGGTAAATGTAGGTATATAGACATAAATAAAATTCTATTTCTTACTTTCCCTTTTCTCAAATTTGTCCCAATTTTTCTTTTTAACATTTTTATTATTTTTTTTCTCTTTATCTTTCTCTATAGCTCCCTCTCTGTCTATCCCTCTCTCCTCTGTCTCTTCCAATTTCTTATTTCTCTCTCTCTCTCTCTCTCTCTCTCTCTCTCTCTCTTATCCATATCTTTCTTGATTTCTGTCCTTTGCTTCATCTCTCCCTCTTTCACTCTGTTCTCTCCTTTGCCCGTTTTCTCTCTCCCTCTCAATTTCTACACAAATCTATTCCTTGCGCATCTGCATTCCTCGGTCTATCTGTTCATCATATTTTCTCTCTCTCTCTCTCTCTCTCTCTCTCTCTTTATCTCTCTCCATCTTTTCCTTACTACCGGTACTTCTCTCTCTCTCTCTCTCTCTCTGTCCCTCTCTCTCTCTCTCTCTCTCTAACCCGATATCCTGGGTAGTTTTAAACTACATGTAGCTTTAATACACTGTAATTAATGCTTCCACTCTCCACATTGTACAGTGTATTACCTGGAGAGGAACAACCTTTGGAATGAGTTGCTCAAAGAACTTGGTGACAGCTTCAGTAAACAGAGGATAGGTACTTCTTACTTTCATCTCATCATCGGACAGTAGCCAGCTGTGTCAAAGGTCAAACATCATAGCATGGGTGTAAGGTTAAACCAGTTCAAAAATCATGATTTACATACATGTACATACTCTTCTACCTCAATATAAATCACTACAAATCTTCTTCTTTTTTTCTTTTAAAGAAAGAAGAAGAAGAAAAAAAAACAGAAGACAAAAAAATGAGAAAGAAATAAACAGAAAAAAAAGAAAGAAAATGAAGAAGAGATAAAAGGAAGAAGAAAGAAATGATAGAAAAAGAAACAAAAAGGAAGAAATTAAAAAAGAAAGAAAAAGAAAGGAAAAGAAGGAAAAAAAATTAAGAAATATAAATAGAAAGAAAAAGAGAGAAAAAAAGAATAGGAAATTGGATGACATAGCTTACCTTGGTAGTCCGCCCATCTCCCATTCAGCACAGATGTATGGTCCTGGTCTAAAGATGACGTATAGACCAACTTTCTGGGCTACCTTCAAGAACTCTCTGAAAGTTAATAATATTTAAAAAATACCATAAAACACTCTAGTATTAATGACTGTGAGATAAATCCTATCAGTACTAAAACATTAAACAAGATGAAGATGATAAAGATTTTATATCTATGTACACCTTTTAAAAAAAGCTACCATATTAAAGATAAACTTGAGTTAGACTGGTAAAATAGGAAAATGAATTCTCACAGAATCAAACGAAACTTACACTGAATGTTCAAGATTACAAATAAATGTCATTTGCCAAACAATTTTGGTTGAAAATGTATACTGGCTGAGTAATGAGCATAGAAAGATAAGGAAAGCAAGGTAAGTAACCCGACTTTTTTTCGTGTAGTAAGTCCTAATACATCTTTTTGTGTACAGTGCTTGTTACTTTACCAAGACTGGGCCAAATTTATTATGATTTTGATGACTCCAGAACCTTGCAGTACACACCTTTTCTTTCACCATGCAATCGCATGACTAGAACTCAACTTAATCTTTAATTTCCAGGAATAAATAAAGGAACAAAAGTTATATCAGAATGATATAATTTTTCATATTTTCACTTTTTATTAATTCTGATTTTCATTTCCTTTATTCATTTTGTCACAAAATCAACTTTAAACTGTCATTAGTTTGTACTAGGAGCTTTTCCCCCATTATAATTACTTGTTGACAAGTGTCGTGCCTCCTCAATTTCCAGTATTTCCAGAGTGGAAGCCAACAATCAAATCCATAGGGCACAGTATAAGGTGAACAAAATCTATTTACATGTACATATATACAGACCTCCTTTTTTTTAAGGGACATCATTCAAATTGTTGATGATTTTAATAAGATTCTCTGCCAAAAAATAAGAACAAATATACATCTAATTGACGATTCATAAATAAAGCGAGGCTAAAAGTGGTCAATATTTATGGGGGAGGGGGACTTTGCATTGTGTTTTATAATTTGTATTTGATATATTATAAATAAGACCTAATATACATCTAATTGTTGATTCATAAATAAAGCAAGGCTAACAGTGGTCAGTACAAGGTACCTAAGGGGGAAATTTAGCATTGTGTTTTCTAAATTCTATATATATTCTTTTTGCATTTTAAATGAAAATTGGGTTAATTGAAACTCTTTTTTCATTGTTTGCCTGGCAGTAATTGCATGTTTCTGGAGTGAATAGCATTTGGGAACATTGGTTACCCCCCCCCCCCTCCCCCTGCCCCTAACTCATTCTTGCTATCATGACTTTTCCACACAACATACATGTACATGTACATTTCACATACTGTACATACAGTGTACACCATTCTAGTTGCCATTCCTGTGTGCATTTTTTTCCTTCTCTTTCACAAAACTCAATTTTCAATTGTATTGTGGTGAATAATACAAACTTGTTCTTTTGAAAGAACGCAAGCAAGCAACCAATTACAAAGCAGTGTACAATGTAACAACATGCATACTGTACAAATGCCATATCAATCTTCTGCTTCCTCTTCCAGTTAAGTACAGGCCCCTTAGAGGGTGTGGATGCGTAACTGTCCTTCTAATATTTAATAAGTAAAGTGTGGTGGTGCAAGTAAAATGGTCCCCTGTGTACTGTCTACTCTGGCCTTAGCATCATAACTTCTGAACTGTGTAAGGGTGGGGCTGCTCTAGTCTTCTGCAGGGGGGAAAATACACGGGGGCTCGGGGCAAACTAGCCCCCGAAATGCCCAAAAGAGCCCCCGAAAGTCATAAAAGAGCCCCCCAAAATTGCATAGAGTTCAATGAAAAACAAAATAAAGAGTGTTATTTTCATGCAAGCAAGCTTGAAAAGTAGCCCCCGAAATGTTTAAAGTATTTTTTCCCATGGCACTCTTCTGCTCTGATCAAGTCACTTTGAATGTATTTAATGAATGTTGATTTCATCTCAAACTAAAATAAACTAGAGCCTACAGTGTACATGTACAGTACAAGAACATTAGAGAAAACCCTATAATGGCCTTTTGTGGATGCCAGTTAGAATTGATCAGAGGGCTTGAAAAGCACGTACAATTGTAGTATGTATCACGCTATAGGTATATCATATGCACACTCGGCCATTATGATTGATTGCTATCATTCCCATGCACACTCAATGACCTATAACTGCAAACATTATGGGCCAAATTCGTGACAGTGTTTTACCCTAACTCATAGTTATAAAGTTCAAACTTCCATTAGCCTCCAAAGACTTGTCCACATGTCCAATGAACGAGCATTATACACTTCTACATATGCCGTAAAACGCCTCTTCTTAATCCTTACAGGAAAGGATTAATTGATCACATATTGTTCTTCAAATTGGCATTAATAATAGTTTTCTTTTTTCACTACAATGAGAGAATAAAATAAAATGTCTCTGAAAACAATGAACTGTAATTTGTTTGGGAAAAATGGCAAATTTTGAATAAAATAAAAAAAATGATTTTAATCTCTCAACCTGTTGCCAATTTAAAGGTTTTAAAACGTATTTGTTTGTTTTTTGTAATTCTTGACATTAAAATGCAATATAGTGATTATAGTCATGAAGCAAAGATGGATGCAGTGTGTGGCAGAAATTTTTGCCCTTTCTACTTGAGTTTCTGGTGTATTTTTGCAGGGCTTTGTCTGCATCAAAAGTTATTGAGCCAAGCCACAAAATGTGGAATAATTCACAAAGTGGTTAATATATATCAGAGGGGGGGGGGGGGGGGGGGGGGGGGGGGGGTCTAAACTCTAAGCCATGGTTTATGCTGTGGGTTATTAAAATTGTCTAAACTTCTTTTGAATCTGAATTTATATTTATGACTGAATAAGTTTCTACCCTTTTCATGACATTGGAATCATATTGTATCTTCCCAAGAGGTTCCAATTACTGGGAGTAGACTTTACGACTGCTTGTAAGTCTATCATTATCTCTCATTGTTCCTGTCTAGTCGCCCCCCCCCACAACTCTATGCACCGATAGGTACCAAAGATCAAGTACACATTGAAGTATATTCATCGAAGCAAGCAATTCGAATTCAATTTCCCTGTGAATACATATACTGTACAGTTTGCAAGCTTGTCTGGAAAACAAACACATTATGCAAATAAGAGCACAGCTTGGGAATCCTGGAGAATGAAAGCTACACGTGTAGTGTACAGATAGGGTGCATTGCAAATTTGCACATACCGGTACATGTATGCGCCTTACCTTATATCACTTTAGAACAAATTATGAATTGCATTGAATACTTGTGGGCAAAGACAAAGTATTTAAGTTAGTTTAAAATGGATTTCAGTCTGTGAGTAAGATTTTTTTTATTTTTTTTATCAAATGATTTTATTTCTCATGCAAAACATAATACAATGAATAATTATATTACAAAATTATGCAATGAAACAACAAATATAGTAGGGAAAAAGCACAAGAAAAGAGGAACTAACTAGAAGCATAGCTTGTTGAAGTGTTAGTTCCTCAGAAGATGACCAATGAAATGCATCATGATTAATAGCTTTTCTCATCAAATTTTTGTTTATCTTTAGGTACAGTATGTATTTGAAACTTGGTACATCAAGGAAACAAAATTGGATGGCACATTGATGTAAATGTAAGAAAATGGTTTTCACAATAACCGATATCTTTAAGAAATGAAAATCTCATAGTCATTACTTACACAACATTTAATATGCCAGTGAAGTCAAAATCCCCTCTGACTTGTTCATGGAGATTCCAAGGAACATACCTGTGATAACAATGAAAAACATACATTTTATCAAAAGCTTCTATGAATTAAAAAAAAAGATATCAGTTGGATTACTTGGAGAAATTAAAGGTAATACAAAGTTTTGGTATGGGGTCATGAATTTGGTTCAAATGAACATATTGAAAGCATGCGATCCTACAATATTCAGTGATCGTTGTCGTGGTTGAAATCGAGTCTAAGTTATAAATAATAAACTCTTTATGTTGTACATGTATAGCTCCCTCTCAAGGTCACGATATTAATTAAGCTATAAAACAATGTTACTTGACTAAAATCGACCAATTAGCTATTCCGCTAGGAAATTATATCCCAACTACATATTCTGAGATTTTCATGGTCGCAGCTACCATTGTACGGCTGTAGGCGCTACAGTATTTGAAATTTATCAAAATTTACAGGGAGCACCAGTAATCTTTTATATTCAATTTTTCTCGAAAGTGTTTTAGGGGCTAAATTTTCTAGTGCTTACACTGTACATGTACATCTGCAGGGACATCTAAAAATATAAAAATTGTAAAGAATCACTATCCACCCAATTTTGAAAATTTCCCCCAACTTTGAATTACAAGCATTGAAATGAAAGCACTAAATTGAATCTTGTAGGATTACATACACTTCAGTGTAGGTGTCAAGGTATTGGCAAGGCATTAATCTACATGTACATTGCCATTCTATACCCAGTAGAGAATTGGGGACTTGGTAGGATTACAAAGTCTTTGTGTTAGTCAATTAAAGGCTGTCTGTACTAGTTTGGCTAGGAGGGATTTAGAGTTAGACCACCCAGGGTGGTCACTGACAGGTGGCTATCTCGTCAACTCAGCTCTCAATAAGAAAAAGAGGATCATGGGGAATGGTCACCGATTAGGTATTGTTCTCTATATCTACATGTACATGTATGTAGCTACCCGTAGTACAGTGGGGCTTTAATATTCCTTCTCTGTGACCATGTGGTAGGAACACTATGGTGCATATTGTGTGAGTGAATCCGATGGTTAGGGTAATAATATCTGTAAAGCGCTTACATGTAGAAAAAGTATTTCATAAAAGAGCTACACATATGGTACAATTTTATAAATCCAGATTGTCATTATCATTATTATTCATGGTTCATTCTCTTGACTCTTAATCCAAGATTTGAATGCCAGCGTAATGTACACAAACATCTTTTGTTAATCCACAATTGCCTCTCTCCTCCCAGGTGTAAATGGGAACCGGGCATTTGCTAGGATGGGGAAATGATAATTGCAGGGCTCCTAAAAAGAACAGCATCAAATTCAAAGCTGCACCAAATAAATAATAAGAATAACGATAGGCCTAGTCAAACATTTGTGTATAAAAGCGCATAACACATGGAGGCACAATTGCACATGTCTCTAGGCACTTAACAGATCAGAATAAAGAAGGAGTGAAAATGGTGCACAATGGTGAACAATATACCCAGGGGGGTGTTTCACAAAGATCCTAAGTAGAACTTAACACTAAGTTGGACTTAAAAATTATGGACAGCCATTGGAGCCTTAAAATGAAATATATTCAAAAGCAGAAATTCAAGTATTTTAGACTTTTTATAAATTCCACATCCAGAACATGAAACCTCCTTGATGATAGAAAATATGCATGATTTGAATCAACATTTTATGCCTTTCAAAATAACTTTTACAAAATATTTTCAAAGATGCTAACGGCTTTCCATAATTTTTAAGTCCAACTTAGAGATAAGTTCAACTTAAGATCTTTGTGAAACACCCCCCTGGCTTCAGGCAAGCTCCCATATAGCACCCAAGCATGGTCCAAAAAATTTCTTTCTACTAGTACTAGTACTACCTGGGTTGAGAGAGGTTAAAGGTAGATTAATGCTTTGCCAAACGATGTTTCTTTTCAAATAGGTTGAAACTTACGTGGTGACAGTATTGAGCCCGCCACTTTTCATCTTGCGGAGGCGATCCTCCCAGTACTGCGGCATGACCCGGAAGTAATGCATGCTCCCGGAGAGGATAGTGACCTCTTCCCCGTTGAGAACAAACTCTCCATTCTGCAGCTTGACGCTAGATTCCTGCAAAGATTTCACGTAATCAAGCTGTCGAGTCTTGATGCGTTGAAAGTACCACAGTATCATGAGAGCACACATCCCGATCAACACCAGCCATCGCATAAGATGAACACCTCGTATTGACACCGTCATTATGTTATGTATGTACGTACGATCAAACAATGACAAGGGATGATGACAATTCACCAGTCGTACAACATAGATTTTAATTATGGCGTCTGATGATGATCCATGCACGTGCACATTTATTAATGAGGAAAGTTAACTGGTACGGTTGGTAAGACTAAATTTGACTGTCTCCTGTAGGTTGGTAAAGATCAAAATGATCTTGAATGCTTAAATAAGCTTGGCCTGGCACTGGCTTGGGGGGAAAAGTTAACCGGGAAAGTCTGAAAGAGCAGGCAATTAGGATTTAGGCAATCAAAAGACAAAACCCAACATGTCATTTGTTTTAACTCATCTAGATTAACTCACAACAGATTAAACTTGAATCAAAGTCCCGGTAACCATAAAATTGTAGAATAAACACTAGACAAGGGCATTTTACAGGAGATTATATCGTCCAGACGCAGATCTAAACTAATCTGAAACCTGTCTCGTGCCTAAGGGATTTCCACCTTAATCTTCCCCACAACTTACGGGGCACATAACTGTTACAATTCCGATAGGTCTTCGCGTATAAATCCCGGCGGCAAACGAACGATTGTCGGCTAAGTTACAGCACGAAAAATATAAGGAATTGCCTACATTCTCCAAACTGTTGAAGACCAGGAATATTAGCCAAATTGTTCAGTGGATAAGACAATGCTTCATGCAATGTGAAAATTTCACCATAGAGACTAGAGTCGAGCTAGGGTAGATTCTAATCCAACTTGGCCTACCACTTCAGCAACACAACCTTCCAAGTTCCAGATCTGGGCTGGGTCTCACGAACCCGTCATAAGTACAAGTTGAGCGACATCCCATTGAAATGCGTGTCAAACTTAATACACGCATTTCAATGGGATGTCGCTCAACTTGTACTTATAACGGTTTCGCGAGACGCAGCCCAGTATTCTACTAGTTGTTGTTCCAAACCTTAACCAACTTCATAACATAAAGATTATAAACAACATCATCTGCATGCAATGTGTAGGCGTTCAGTTATTTCTTTCATTTTAAAACACAAAAATATAAATTATGTACAATCAAATATCAACTAAACCTGACTAGATGTAATTATTCGATGTTGTTCTGATCCGAGTTCGAATTATTGAATGAATACATCCTGCAAAAGAAGACTAATTAGACAGTTAGTGTGCCACGTTAGGCCGACAGGGGGTCTGATTAGGTGGGGGGGGGGGGGGGGGGGGGGGGGGGGGGGGGGGGGATAGTTCCCAACTAACTTTTCACGTTGGCAAACATTACGTCCCTCTGATCTTGGGTCTATATAGTAGCAGTTTGAAATGTCCAACATGTCTCTCTCCCCCCCCCCCCCCCCCCTCTCTCTCTCTGTCTCTCTCTCTCTATGTCTCTCTCTCCCCCCCTCTCTCTCTCTCTCTCTCTTTTCTCTCTCTCTCTCTCTCTCCCCCCTCTCTCTCTCCCAATCCCAGGGCCGTTGCCTTAGGGGGGGGGGGGGGGGTACATACATGTACACGTCCTGGGGAGGGGTCTAAAAAGTTCAACCGATCTTGGAAAAAATTGGGGGCAGGTGCCCCCCTCCCCCGTGGCTACGTTACGTGCCTGCTCCATCCCACCCCCCCTCTCCCTACTCCCCCCCCCCCCTCTCTCTCTCTCTCTCTCTCTCTAAAAAGGTAAGATAGTTATCTGGATTATTGATAATGCCCTCGAGCCCTTTTTCAAGGCGATGAATATATTGTATTTCATAAATAAAATGCCCTTTCTATAGTGACGATATATAAAATAAATTAATTATGTATTTCTTGATCTGGCTCCCTTGACCACCGTACAACAACCAACTGTTACTTCCGATTGTACTCTTGCACACGTACAGGTCATTAATTTGTCAAGTTGCCAAATTCAAACCACGATTGCCCAATTTTCATTAACAAACTACAAGCTTAATGTATATACAGATATTAGACGATGTCTTCACGGTCGCATACAGGATTTGAGACAATAAAGGCATGATGTTGATGGAACACAACAAAATAAAACACCAACAGACAAACAGACAGATGATTTTGTAACGAGGAAAATATGGCACAGATTATAGTGCATTGATTTTGATTACATTACGAAAATAGCCTAATTTATATTAGTACCCGTAAAATTAATCATGTTCGGATTGATTAATACGTAATACTACGTCATTTTGTCATGTTCCAACATTTCAAATGGTGACACAAAAGGCTAGTGTAATATGTGATCTTATACATTGACTCAATGCTACATGCTATACACACATACACACAGTTAATGTACACTGTGGTGTATGGGCTCTTCTATACACAATATAACCAGTCATGCTGGATTGCAACTTCACTCTGATGTTCTCTATGTGTCTTCATTTGAGTACTAACCATACAGCTAAACAACCCCACATTATATGGTGGCAGCGATATAGAACCTACTGGACAATATTTGTGAACTTTGCATCATTTTGGAGAGATTTTGGAGGCCATCTTATTGACACACTGTCATTGGATCAACAGGTGCTCCTTTCTACAGTCCCATGTGATGGTTTTACTGTAAGTAAAATGTGCATTGACATTTGCATTACTATTGGAGTTTGAGTAGCTGGTATGAACTATGAATGAGTCATTTACACCCCGCATGAATTGGGAAGACCCCGACAGAGCCAATGCTGTTAGGATTTTTCATCAGCAGTGTGACTTATACTTCTCAGTCAAGAATGTTGCGATTAGTAAGCAAGTGGATCATTTTCTTTTGTTCACTGGTGCCACGGGTATCAAGCTTTACAACTCGTGGGGTCTGGAAGGTGAAGATAAGAAGAATCCAGCTGTTGTTTGGGAGAAGTTCGAGACACAACTGAGGCCAAGGGCAAATTTCCGTGTAGCTAGGCTATACCTTCAGAAATATGTGCAGAAGGAGAGGGAAAGTGCAGATGATTATATCTCGCGCCTGAAGCTGCAGGCATATGACTGTGAATTTCGTGATGACACTGAGCTCCAAGAACGCATCATTGAGCAGTTCATCACAGGCACTAGATATCCTGAGCTCCAGAAAGATCTTCTAGGGAAGAACAAGTCCCTCACTCTTACACAGATGCTTGAGCTGAGTAGAACATTTGAAGCATCGCAGATGCACATGGCTCAACTAGCGCAAGTACAGACACATATTCAGCCTGCATCGATTGATGTAGTTCGTCGGAAGACTAACACTAGTAACAAGTGTCCTAATTGTGGTGGTAATCATGCTCGCAGTCCACGGGAAGCATGTCCGGCTTATGGCACCAAGTGTAACAGCTGTGGAAAGCTGAATCACTGGAGGAGTGTTTGTCGGTCTCCAGCTCCAAGTACACAGTGGTCTGGGAGATCTCCAGCTTCAAGTACCCAGAAGTGGAAGCAGAAAGCTAAATACGCTACGCCACATCGTGGAGGCAAGAACGTTCACTCCATTCAAAGCACGAACAATATTGAAGCAGCAGCAGCGGTCCCACTACTGAATGACGCTGTGGATGTCCTGTCATTCAATCGAATTATTGTGTCAGGTATTAGTGCTGTGCAGGTGGATGACAGGGACGACCTAACAATAGCATATGTGGAAGTCAGACGGGATGAGAGAACTATCATGAAACTTCGTTCGAAGGTTGACTCCGGTGCGGAGGGCAACACACTGCCTCTTCGAATGTTTCGAGGGATGTACCCTGGGCATCTCACTAAGGATGGAGTTCCTCACCCTCAATCAGTGCATAATTCAAGTGCACGGTTGTTCGCTTACAACGAAACACCAGTGATGCACTTCGGTTCGGTTCGGCTGCCCTGTCGTTTCAACAACTCAACTTGGCTTTATGCTACATTCTACATTGTAGAGTCCAGGGGTCCAGCGATTATTGGATGTGACACAGGCTTGAAACTGAAGCTGCTTACTCTACACACACGCATCAACGAGATCAAGCATTCAGCACAGATAAGCTCTACTGATGACCTAGTAAGGCAGTATCCAGACCAGTTTGACAAAATTGGCAACTTCCAGGAGAATATCATATTGTTCTTGATCCAGACGTTCAGCCTGTTGTCCATGCTCCTAGACGGTGCCCAATCCACCTACGAGATGAACTGAAGCGTGAGTTTGATGACATGGAAGGTAATGGCGTGATCACTAAAGTCATTGAGCCTTCAGCATGGGTCAGCAGCATCGCTGTTTCAAGGAAGTCGAATGGCAAACTCCGTGTCTGCTTGGATCCCAAGGATCTCAACCGAGCTATTCGACGTTGCCATTATCGCACTATCACGACAGATGAGGTGATACACAAGCTATCAGGTGCTCGACACTTCAGCAAACTCGATGCCAAGAACGGTTATTGGTCTATCAAGCTCGACCATGACAGTTCACTTCTGACTACCTTCAACAGTCCCTTTGGACGGTACAGATATCTCAGGATGCCTTTCGGTCTAGCAATGTCTCAGGATGTATTCCAGCAGCGAATGGACGAAATCCTCGAAGGTTGCCCCGGCACAATAGGGATCGCTGACGATATTGTTGTGTTCGGCAAGAGTGAAGCAGAGCACGATCGGAATCTGCACCACCTCATGTCCAAAGCTGTGAAGTACGGTCTGCAGTTCAACAGTGGCAAGTGCAGCATCAAGGTCAACCAGATTTCCTTCTTCGGTATGATCTACGATGCAGATGGCGTCCATCCGGATCCTCACAAGGTCGAGGCAATCAAGTCAATGTCTCCACCTGAGAACAAGAGCCAGCTTCGTGAGTTCCTTGGTATGATAACCTACCTTAGCCCATTCATACCAAATCTTTCAGCCCAGACTGCAAGCCTACGTGGTCTTTTGAAGCAGGACGCTGAATTCCAATGGACTCCAACGCACCAGTCTGCCTTCAATGATTTACGTGACAAGGTATGTCACGATGCAACTCGGGCGTATTTCGATGTTAACAAGCCTACGGTACTGCAGGTAGATGCTTCTCTGCAGGGCTTGGGAGCGACTCTACTGCAGGATGGAAAGGGTATCGCGTTTGCATCAAAGGCCCTCAGTGATGCAGAGACGAGGTACGCTAACATAGAACGAGAGCTGCTTGCAGTGGTCTTCGGCTGTGAACGATTCCACATCTTCCTGTACGGGAAAAGTTTCATAGTTGAGACGGACCACAAGCCCCTGGAGATGATCCAGCATAAGCACCTGGCAGCGGCTCCACCTAGACTCCAGCGTATGCTCCTTCGTCTACAGCCATACAAGCTGACAATTGTCTACAAGCCTGGTAAGGATGTACCAGTAGCTGACTGCCTATCAAGACGTCCTCTTGGTCCTCCAGAACATATCCACCTTGACCTGCAAATCAACTTTGTACAGTTTGCTCCAGACCGTTTGAGTCAGTTGAAGGAGGAAACAGCCAAGAATGCAGAGTTTGCAGCACTACAGACGGTGATTGTGAAAGGGTGGCCAGAGAAGAGACGTGAGCTACCACGGCAGCTGCAGAGATACTGGGCCTTTCGAGATCAACTTGCAGTTGAGGATGGTCTGATCCTGAATGGTGAACGAATCCTTATTCCACACTCCATGAGGGAGTACATACTGAGCAAGCTCCACGAAGGTCATCAAGGTATCGAGAAGACACGACTTCGGGCTAAGGCTTCTGTGTACTGGGAATCAATCAATGACGATATCGAGGTCCTGGTGAAAGGCTGCTCAGTCTGCCAAGAGTACAAGCCCTCGCAGCCCCATGAGACTCTTCTCCAGCACGAGATACCCACACGATCCTGGCAAGTCTTAGGTACAGACTTATTTCACTTTGAAGGGAACAATTATCTCATCATTGCAGATTACTTCTCAAAGTTCCCTTTCATCCGGAAAATGCCTCAAGAGTGTACCAGTGCTGCAGTAGTCAATGCGACCCGTCAGGTGTTCGCAGAACAAGGAGTTCCAGAAAGAATCGTTAGCGACAACGGAAGACATTTTGACTCCTCAACATACAGAGACTTTGCTACACAGTGGGGATTCAGCCATGTTACATCCTCTCCCCACTACCCCAGGTCAAATGGCTTCATTGAGCGAATGATTCAAACTGTCAAGAATACGCTCAAGAAAGCTAAAGTGAGTGGTATCGACCCCAACATGGCTCTACTATGTATCCGTGCCACTCCAATTGACAGCCGCATTCCAAGCCCAGCTGAGCTTCTTTACGGGAGGAAGATGAAGGACAACTTACCAACTCGAATCCGCAACAACTCCCCTGGTCGTGATGATGTTAACCATCGTATGCAGCTTCGACAGCAGAGCCAGAAGTATCATCACGACAAATCAGCCCATGACCTAGCACCACTCTCACCTGGGCAGCTTGTGAGAGTCCAAGACCAGACATCACGTCACTGGATAACAGCTACTGTTCGTGAGCAATGCCATGAGCCTAGGTCATATCTCGTCGAGACGCCTAATGGAAGGGTGCTACGCAGAAACCGGCAACACCTCGCTGATATTGAGCCCAGGCGTATCCATCATGATGAGGAGGTAACCAAGACACCCGATCCTCATACACGCGAAGAGATGACGCTTGATCCAACGCCCGACATCAGAGGTTCTCCTGCCCCAACCCCTGCCCCAAACCCTGTCCCAATCCCCAACCACCAGCAGACCACCCGCAGTGGCCGGGTAATCAAGAAGCCAGAAAAATTGACTTATTGATAGGACTTCATCTTTGGATACTTCAAGTTTGGACATTATGGACTCAGTTTATTTTTCTGTAAGGGGGATGTAATATGTGATCTTATACATTGACTCAATGCTACATGCTATACACACATACACACAGTTAATGTACACTGTGGTGTATGGGCTCTTCTATACACAATATAACCAGTCATGCTGGATTGCAACTTCACTCTGATGTTCTCTATGTGTCTTCATTTGAGTACTAACCATACAGCTAAACAACCCCACATTATAGCTAGGAATTGAAATTGCCTTAGGTTGGTATTTCGGAAGTATCATGTCTGTAATGGTTTACCTTGAATTAAACCAAACAAACATGAAAAAAAGAAGCAACTTACCGACATGTTTTCCTCAGCTCGTCCTATATCTAAAGATGGAGATATGAATTCAAATTCAGTATATGACGCCTACTATATAATGATTGAACTAGTAGATCTGACTAAACAGCCCTCAAGAAAAGACTCACACGAACCTATTGTATTTTAAGAATTATATTCGATCTTAACCAGTGGAAAGAAGGTCTTCAACAGCATACATAAAGGCTCAAGTAAACAAAGCGATTGATATTCAAGTGTCAAATTTTGGTCCTGAAGATTGAAAGCCGGACGGTGCTGGGAAAATGGGCGGATCGCAAACAATCTTTCTGTCTTTTTTGTTGTCAGTAATATTATTCAAACTCTATTTGATTCAAATATTAGGTCGCCAGTGTAAGATTTTAGCTGTGCAAATGATTATCTTGATATAGAGTGTTTACCCTGGCGAGCCTGAGAGCATGCAGCAAGGGGAGTAAGCTGGGCAAATAATAGATGGTAAAAGCAAGACTAAAGGTCACTTTATATTCAAATCGCTCGGGATTATATCAAGGAGATGTATGAAGAGCAATCTATTGAGGGTTACAGCCAGGGTGGGGGGGGGGGGGGTACGAAATGCGAGGGACGAGGGGGGGGGGGGTAATGAGCACTATTTTTTTTTGGGGGGGGGCATCGAAAATTTGAAAAATCGCACATCTCCCCCAAATAAGGTCAAAATAACGTTCCCCCCCCCCCCCCCCCTCCTGGACCCGCCACTGAGTGAGGCCGCTCCCGGCCAGCTCCGAGTTCTTTTTCCTATTTGTTATACTGTTCAATTTTGATTTTTAAGTCCATGATCGTTGATCGACCTTCTAATTTGTTTTTTTTTGAAGTGCGGAAGCGGAAGCTCCCCGAAAATCCCATTCATGGGCACTTCACCGAGAGATGGCGCTGTGCGCCATTCACTGTGCGTCTTCCTACGGAGGACATACTGTGTATGATCGAATCTCTTTGATTCACTGAGAAAGGGCGGGGATTTCAGTAGTGAAGACCCGCTTTAAAGGTACTATATGTCCCTTTTGCAGCCAACCTCAAATTCTGTAGAACTTTGCAGGAATTATGAATATGTCATGTATGTCCTATCTGTGAAATTTAAATGTTAGCAGTGTCCTCATATTCAAATTATGCAAGGAAACCCGTTTACTTGCTAGACTTCACTGTCAGACACTATTGAGTGACTGACTCGCTTTTTTTCTTCCTTGGTAATAACATACATGAAAAGAGTTGTAAAGGGTACATGAGCATTAATTTGTCTAATTTGTCAAATAACCCACTTCTTGTGATAGCCAAGTTAGATTAAGCTGATTGAATCTTTGTGCAGCATAAAACGTATAACCATTCGGTACAATTGTCTGTTCAAGACTATTACTTTTGGGCTCTATAGCCCTAAAGTCGATTTGACAACAAATAGTCGTTATTTTCCCACTTGAAGAGTATTAACTTTCAAATGCAGTTGGAATTTAACTTTTTCATTTTTTGGTCCTGCAAATGGGACATAGTACCTTTAAAGAGAGAGAGAGAGAGAGAGAGAGAGAGAGAGAGAGAGAGAGAGTTTCCCCTCTGCCACCACGACCTCCGGGAATCTTTTGGAGGAAGAGCAACCAAGTACTTCGTACCAAGAGAGAGAGAGAGAGAGAAAAGAAAAGATATTTCTACGATCTCTCTTTAACAACACTTGGTGACTCTCTGAACTATATAAAAACACCGGATTTTATTAATTAATAAATGTACATCTTTCAAACGCGATCGAAAGCAGAAAGTATGAAGACAAGAAATAGCAGTAGTATACGTGACACTGTGTTGTTGTTGATTTCCACATCGAATCATAACACATGGAACGCTAAACAAATTAGATCTATGTTGGTACTTTTTTTTAATTTTAGGACACCGTATAGTATTCAGCGAGGCCGAGGATATACCGCAAAAATTAAAGGATAAAAATACTGGTTTATTGACTCTTACTTAGCTCACTCTGAAGCCGTTCATGTCATGGTGTTTAAAAGGACAACAAATATGATAGTTCTTCATTTCTAGTTTTAAAAAACGTCAGAACAGGATGTCAAGTGAACACCTACAGCGAACAGATGATGAAAATGGTGAGTGACTACAGCACTAGTAGGCCTAGCAGCTGCACTACCGGTACATGTTGCACAGACCTTTAAATCGCATTACGTAAGCGGAGGGTCGGACAAACAAGGGGTGCGATGTTTACCTTGTGCTCCTGTTTAGTTATATGTCTTTGCGGCCCATGAGATTGCTGATCTCCGAAAAAGCGGAGGAAGAAGAAGAAGAAGAAGAAGAAGGTGCATATAGTCTAGTGATATGACTGGGGCCCGTTCCTAGAAACCGTAATATTATTACTAATAACTTCTTGACGTTATGACTAACCCATTGAAACGCGTGTTATAGACAGCAGTGAGACAAACCTGGACAAAATAATGCGTAACCAGCCCCGGACGGACTGTACTGACAGCACCTAGCAAGTCATGCTGCCCTACAATACATTCTACAATAGTCTACATGTAGCTCTGCATCTGTTGCGTCTAGACTAGAACTATAGAACAATCATGTGCTTGCTTTGAGCCTTTGTTCGACCAGGGAGAGTGTTAGAAAATTCCTGGTTCGACTGGTTCTCTGCTATTAATTGTGCCCTGTGACTAGTACGACTATGAATATTGCACGTTTGCTTTCGCTATTTGAGAGAGAGAGAGCAGGAAGATGAGGGAGTTTCAACCTCAGTACGAGAATACACCCGACGGATTATACACATTTACTTTATTTGGACTCCAGGAATCTCCAAAACAGTGGAGGGATCAACTAAGAAGAAGGTGGCCTGTACTTATAGCGAAGAAGAACCTTCAATGAGATGTGATTTTTCTTTCTTCATAGTCTGTATTTGGTCTTTAAAATTGCTGATTTTTAGGCAAGAATAATGGGAAAGCATTGCTGTTTCGGAATGTGCAATAGCGATTCACGTTATGCAGAACGACCGCACATGGAAGGGGTTTTCTTTTTACCATTTGCCAAACCTAAAACAATGCTTGAGAAATGCAATATATGGTTAAAGGCATGTGGAAGAAAAGACTTTGGTGTGGATAACATAACAAAGCACACATACGTTTGTTCTAAACATTTTGTTGGAGGAAAGGGACCCACCGCAGAACATCCCAATCCACTTCCAGCCGCGGTGACTCGGCTGGAGAAAGAACTTGCAGCGAAACCAGTACGCCCAGGCCAAAGTTTCCGGGACAGGCAGCACACAATACCTCCTCCGAAAAGAAGAAAAACAGACAAAATTCACATTGGCTTGAAAGCCAGTGATGAAATAGAAGGCGAAGAACCAAATTATCAGTTCGCTGATATTGATATTGGTAATTTACTAATTTCCATTTAATTTTGCATTTACTTCAGTGGTATTGTATGCTGATTTGTGCAAAACATTGACCTAAAGGGGGGTGCTTTAGCAATAGAGGAGTTGGGTTAACTTGATCATTTGGTTATTAGTTTGACATATTGTATACATGTATATTCTAAAGTTGAATCAAATTACATTGTTTCCGATAGGAACGGGTAAACAATCCCTGGACTTAGATTTACAGGTGTTTATCTCTGATAAACATGTTAGTCAATGAACTGTTTTTCCGGGGATCGATCTAACATTCTTGCGGGGCTGTGGGCTCCTCCTACTTTCTCCGGCACACATAGCTGCATTCTTCTTCTTCTTCGCTATAAGTACATGTACATTACTATCCTGGCTGTGTATTAAAACCTGTTCTATTGGTTCTCAACATTTCAAACACCAACCTGTACAAAACTCAACTTGATTCACTCAAAATTGGTACAATTGATGACACCTAAATACATGTAGCAGTAAAATGCAATTTTTTCAACTTCATGTGTGCAATTGCTGCCTACTAGCACTATAATCTTTGTTCAAACTACTGGAACTTCGGCTGAGTTTGTAGCAATGTTATCCTTACTATAATTTGGCTAATCTTGTGTGTCTGTCCTTTCTGTCCTTCCGTTTGTTTGACGGCGCTTTTCTCTGTGGTCTTCCACTCTATCGAGTCGGAATTTGGTCCATTCTCAGTTTTAAAAACTCTAGATTGCCATTAAGAGGTTTATTTTAACAAATTTTGTCTATTTTGGGGTTCTAAGTTTAAAATACGTAAGTTTCTAACTTTCTATTCGCTGATCCAACAGGGAATAGGAATGCTTTTACATAGGCACATTGTGAAATGAGGATCATCGCACACGCGGGGATTCGATCTTCGTATGCAATGCATGTACATTTTGTGCTATACTTGCTCCATAAACAGTCACTGTTGGTCGGCACGTCATGTGAGCGGGCAGCTCTTAACAAATCTCTGCATGGAGATTAGGTTAATTTATAGTCCTTTTGAAAGCTGCTCGGGAATCACACGAGTGTATAGGCCTACATGCAATAGTTGTCCGGGCTTTAATATCTGAGAGGAGTTAAATTATACATGATTATATTTTGACATGCTTGGCAAGCGAACCAACCCGTTCAAAGATTTTGCCATGTATTTTGCGTTACTAATTATTTTTGTGTATAAATTGTGTGTCATGTATGAGGGTCGTAGGCAAATTAACCGACACGGTTGAAAATGGTTTTAAAATCTCACTCAATTGAAAAAGATGTATTTTCCTGTTTATACCTATAGGCCCAGGCGCGGATCCAGGATTTCTTAGGGGGGGGGGGGGGGGGGGGGGGGCCCAAATTTGAAATTATGCGAGCCAAATATTGGTACGTTATGGTGACCAACAGTGACGAAATGGGGGGAGGGGGGGGGGGCGAGTTCCCCCCTCCCAGGCTTTGACGTTTCATTATATTATTAGAGAAAGAAGACGATTCGTTGTACCGTTCTCGAAAATAATTTTCGTCTGAATTTAGTTTTCCTCCTCCCGCGCAAAGCGCGGAAAATTTTACGATTTATTAAATTATTCGAGAAAGAAGACGATTCGTTGTACCGTTCTCGAAAATAATTTTCGTCTGAATTTAGTTTTTCTCCTCCCGCGCGAAACGCAGAAAATTTTACGACTTATTAAATTATTAGAGAAAGAAGACGATTTGTTGTCCAGTTCTTGACTCTTAATCCTTGTCTAAATTCAGCCCCCTCCCCCTCCTGCGCAAAGCGCGGAAGCTTTGACGTTTTATTAAACTATTAAAGAAAGAAGACGATTCATTGTACCGTTCTCGAAAATAATTCTCGTCTGAATTTAGTTTTTCCCCTCCCCCCCTCCCAAGCTTTTACATTTCATTAAATCATTAGAGAAAGAAAATGATTAGTTGTACAGTTCTCGACTCTTGATCCTTGTCTAAATTCAGTTCCTCACCCTCCCCCTCCTGCGCGAAGCTTTGACGTTTTATTAAACTATTAAAGAAAGAAGACGATTCGTTGTACCGTTCTCGACTCTTAATCCTCGTCTGAATTATGCCCCCCCCCCCTCCCGCGCGAAGCGCGGAAGCTTTTACATTTCATTAAATTATTAGAGGAAGAAAACGATTCGTTGTAAAGTTCTTGACTCTTAATCCTTGTCTAAAATCAGTCCCCCCCCCCTCCCCCTCCTGCGCGAAGCGGGGAAGCTTCTACGTTTCATTAAATCATTAGAGAAAGAAGACGATTCGTTTTACAGTTCTCGACTCTTAATCCTCGTCTGAATTCAGGTTCCCCCCTCCCGCGCGAGGCGCGGAAGCTTTTCATCTTCATATAATCATTAGAGAAGAAGACGATTCGTTGTACAGTTCTCGACTCTTAATCCTTGTCTAAATTCAGTTCCTCCCCCTCCCCCTCCTGCGCGAAGCGCGGAAGCTTCTACGTTTCATTAAATCATTAGAGAAAGAAGACGATTTGTTGTACAGTTCTCGACTCTTAATCCTCGTCTGAATTCAGGTTCCCCCCTCCCGCGCAAAGCGCGGAAGCTTTTAATCTTCATATAATCATTAGAGAAGAAGACGATTCATTGTACCGTTCTCGAAAATAATCCTCATCGGAATTTAGTTCGCCCTCCATCCCGCGCGAAGCGTATACGCTTTTACGTTTCATTAAATAATTAAAGATTCGTATTACCGTTCTCGCCTCTGAATCTGAATCCTCGTCTCAATTCAGCCCCCCCCCCCTCCTCCCCTCCTGCGCGAGAAAGAAAACGATGCGTTGTACCGTTCTCTATACTCTTAATCCTTGTCTGAATTTCAAAGAGGTGGGGTCGAGGCGGCGGAGCCGGCCCCCGGAAGACCAGCGGTTTTAGGCTTTTAATTAAGGTCAGATGAGCATATTTTTGTGTATACCTTATTATTTTGTGACACTGGCAAGTCACTATTTGGCGTGGGGTCCAGGGGGCGGAGCCCAAAAAAATCAGGGGTTTTAGGCATTAAATTACCGTCAGATGATCATCTAAGAGGCCGCCGTAGGGCCCTAGATGGAATCCAGGGGGCAAAGCCCCCGGAAGCTTAGGGGTTTTAGGCATTTAATCACGGTCAGATGAGCATATTTTGATGCCTCGAGGCTCTTGATCCCCGCCGTACCTCGGGCCCTGACATGTAGGAATCTCAAGAATCATATTTTTTGCCTGGTTGTAAATTTAGGAATTTTTTTTATTTTCCAACAAACACATACAAACGTATATTTACTAAAACGTGAGGAAAAATTTCGGAAATTATGTCATTTCAGCATTATTTGTAATACACCGATGTGGAATCAGAAATAAACCACGTTTGAATTTGATTTCCCCCAAGCCCCCCCCCCCCTCTATCAGTACGCCAGTATCTCCTCTTTTCCTTTTTTTTTCTTTCCCTTTCCTTCCTTCTCTCTTATTTTTTTTTTTTTTTGGGGGGGGGGGGGGGGGGGGTTTAACAGCCTGGGAGGCAAGGCCCTTTCGGCCCCCCCCCCCCATTTTCCTCTTCCCCTTTACTTTTCTTCTTCCTCTTCTTTCTTTCCCTTTCTCCCTTCTTTTCCTTCTTCTCTCTTTTTTTTGGATCCGCGCCTGTATAGGCCTACAGGTTGTGTATCTGGACACTTGATTTTAACCGGCTTTATAGGTACAAATAATACTAGGCCTTCATACTAATGTCGATACACGTCTGTAAAAAACCAATTACACACACACACATACTGTAAGGAGCGATTTTCGAACGATTTTCTTTTGAGCTTTAAATGTAAACGAAGATGTGCCGCTCTAATGTGTGACTTTTTCGCCAAACACATCCCCAAATCATGGGGTATGATTTTGGGCCGAAAAATCTTTTAAAGGTAAATGAAAGGGCTTGAAAATGGCTTTTAGTGGGAAAATAACGACCATTAGTTGGCGAATCGACTTAAGTGATTGCAATCGCCTAAGTAGTATTCTGATTTTCAGACCCTTTTACCGAATGGTCGTAGGCCTATGTTTTGTGCTGCAAAAAAAATTCAATCAGTTTAATTTTGGCCATGGGTTAGTGATGTAGACAAATGCGCATCGTTACCTGTTACAGCTCATTTGTTGAATGATATTACCAAAGAAGAAAAAAGATGCCGGTCAGCCACTCAATGGTGTCTGACAGTCAAGTCTAGCAAGTAAACAGGTTTCCTAGCAAAATTTGAATACTACTAGGACACTGCTAATGTTTACATTTCACACTTATTCACAGATAGGACATATATATGACATATTCATAATACCTCCAAAGTTCTACAGAATTTGATGTTGGCTGCAAAAGGGACATAGTATCTTTAACATGGGATATGGTTTTGAAATGTTACTGTATAGACTTGATACCAATTGTGTCGCTAAGGTACACATTTGTTTTGTGGATAAGCCCCCCCCCCCCCCCCCCTGATAATAGGTACCCTCTTCCGCAAAAATGACCCTTAAAATTGGGTACAGGTTGGGTGGCTTCTCAACGGCATAGCAACGTCGTAACCAAATCTGCCGAGTGCCCCCCCCCCCCCCCCCCCAAAAAAAAAAAAAAAAAAAAAAAAAAACTTGCTCATTCATCCCTTTGATCATTCCCGGATCATTTCTTTGATGAAAGGTCAGTTTGTTATGGGTAAAATCTGCTACATGTACATGTAGTAAATAATAAATTAGGCAATTGTATTTCTGAGCCTGTTTCATATTTATTTTGACTTTGAACATTAGCTTGAAACGGAATACAAATTTAGACGTAGAACTAGAAATAAGAGGAGAGATACATATTTCTCAACCGTTCGCAAACACTATCATGTTTTACCGGTACTTGCACAATTGCCATCAAGTTAACCAGGCCAGGGCCCTGTTTCATAAAACTTGTTATCAATAACAAGTCACGTCACAATACATGTAACTGTTATAAGCTAATGAAATAGAGGCATTTGATTGGCTGAGAGCAGATTTGTCATAGAAATTGAGCATTTGTCATCGATAACAAGTTTTATGAAACATGGCCCAGGTGTAGTCTGTTGTACTCTCTTTGTATCTTATTATGAATAGGCCTATACAATTTCTGACAGAAACATAAAATAATACTCCACTCCTGACGACGGATACCGTAGTCAACCTGTTCGAAACGTCGAGCCACTCCCGCCACTCATCCTCTCCAAGCGCTGTAGTTCTCCTTAGAACTACAAGCTAAGAAAGATAACCAACAGTCTTTTTCAAGACTATACACCAACAGACCTTTTCAGGACTACCGGTATGCACCCTCAAGAAAGATTACCAAGAGTCCTTTTCAGGACTCCTCAATCCTCCCTCTCTCTCACATGGTGCACCCGCAAGCCTACTGTATATCTACATCACCATGCAAGCCGATACCTACAAGCAGCATCTAAAAAATAATAACTCTGTGAATTTTGCTTATCCTCACAGAGTTTAGAGGACACATTACATGTATGTATGTGTACTTGTTTGCTATAAAATTATGTATTTTTTTCTCCATTATGTTAATAATTTATTTTTAAGCACAATGCATTTAATTTTCATGTAATTTTATTTATACTCTTTAGTCCGGGAATTACCAATACGCATTATAGCATCGACTACTATCCTTTGCTGGAGTGGGAATTACTTTGATTGCTTGATAGGGTCGTTGCATGGCCTTTGTTATTCCCACCACATTATGAGAAGTACATCCAGGGCAGATACTGAAGACTGAAAGCCATGGAGAAGAGCTGTAAAGGGAATGAAACGTCAAACCCCTCAGCGCTGGAAAGTGGAAACACAGATGCTTAACAATGATTGCTTTTTTTGTATCATGTTTGTTCTTTATCACAGATACCCGCCATATCAAAGAGGAGGTAATGGAGGACGAATATTATGATGGCATTTCTGGGACATCAGCACAACAAAGGGGTAAGTCTCTTCAGAGTCAGGCTAACTCAGCCCAAAGACAACTCAGCCCAAAGACAACTCGGCCCAGCTGCAAAAACGGTCAGTTTTTTGCAGGTTTACGATTAGGTTTAGGGTTAGGTTTAGGGTTAGGTTTAGGTTTAGGGTTAGAGTTAGGGTTAGGGTAAATTGACAAAAACTGACCGTTTTTGCAGCTGGGCCGAGTTGTCTTTGGGCCGAGTTGGCCCGGATTCCTCTCTTCCACCTACACATGTTCTTCTTTGCTTGGCTTCCTCAAGTTTGGAGAACTGCAGTTGGTGCAGGTGTTGGTATAGACCGAATTTTCCGTCTCTTTCGTTCGTTAGCCTCTTATTGGGGTAGGGTCGGCTCTCTCTTTAGAGACGGAAACCGTCTATACACATTCCCTTGATAACGCCACGGCCATTTCAGGTCGTAGCGTTTTGCCCCTAAAATCCCCCAAAATGTCATTTTACCTCGTGCATGTTATATTGTAAATTAGGCCTAGGCTATAATAAATCAGTTCCACTTACCAACTTGACTGAAATAATCAGTTTAATAGTCCCTTTTTAGGAATTTATGGGTCAAAATCGAAATCCATGTTGAAAAAGATTTTCAAAATGGATTTCGTTTTTGACCCATAATTTCCTAAAAAGGGACTATTAAACTGATTATTTCAGTCAAGTTGTTAAAGCTACAGTCCCATATACGTCCCGGACCGTCCCGGACCATCCCGGACCCCATCCGGGGTGATCCGGGATTCGGTCCGTGTTGACACCGTGTTGGCACCGGGGTGGTCCTGGATGGTCCTGGATGGTCCTGGGCGGTCCGGGAGTCGACCCCGGATGTTTTTGACGGTCAAAAACTGCCGGGGTGGTCCGGGACGGTCCGGGACAATAGTTTGATCCGGGGTGATCCGTGTAGCCACCGTGCTGGGTCCGGGATCATCCGTAGTGGCGCCGGGGCGGTCCGTGTTGATCCGTGGCAGTCCGGGAGTGAGTTATTGACCGCCCAGGACCATCCAGGACCATCCAGGACCACCCCGGTGCCAACACGGTGTCAACACGGACCGAATCCCGGATCACCCCGGATGGAGTCCGGGATGGTCCGGGACGGTCCGGGACGTATATGGGACTGTAGCTTAAAAGCATCACACTTTTTTGAACAAAACATCCCGGACCATCCCGGATCACCCCAGACCATGGTCCGGGATGGTCCGGAGTGGTCCGTGCTCGTCGGTGCTGGTCCGGCTTTATATGGGACTGGGGCTTAAGTGGAACCGATGTTTCATAGCCTAGGCCTAATTTACATGTGGATATGCACGAGGTAAAATGACATTTTGGGGGATTTTGGGGGCAAAACGCTACGACCTGAAATGGCCGTGGCGTTATCAAGGGAATGTGTATTGACGGTTTCCGTCTCTAAAGAGAGAGCCGGCCGACCCTACCCCAATAAGAGGCTAACGAACGAAAGAGACGGAAAATTCGGTCTAGTGTTGGTATAGTCAGTACATTTATACAGTATAGCTTGGAATAAAGTAAACACTCTCACACTGTGTCACGCATCACTGCATGTATAATCCCATAGACTAGCTTTGGTGTGACCTGGTGTTAATGTGTCCACTTTATTTCAAGCAATACAGTACAAAGAAATAGTGAGTTTACAGTGACATCACATACATGTACATGTAGTGGCAGTAGAAAGTTTAACGTGGAGGCCAAGTAACAAACTGAGAGGAAAATTGTGACAAACTGAGGGATTGATCCAGTCGGAAAGCGAGGTGTGAGAGCAGGAGCCAAGTAACGTTAGTTTTGGGAAGCATTCACCCTTTGTTTAGGGACATTGAGCTCTCAATACATTGACTATGTCTCTAAGTGCTTTACATGTACATGCACATTCTTCACTCCCTTGGGAGCATTCCAGCCATGCTTAACACATGAAAATGACTTTCTTACCCTACTGAGTACTAATTGAACACCTGGGTGGAGAGAAGCAATGTTGATAAAATGCCTTGCGTAATGACATAAGTGCTGTAAGTAGACATGTATCCCATCGCCTTTTATCTTGTAGATGCTGTTCCCATCTCGTACCAGGCTGCATCAACAACTTCTGACAACGCACCAATGGAGAGGAAAGATCTTCAAGCCAACATCAAGCAAGAAAATGATGCAGAGGTATTTGGAGCGGAAGGTCTTTCTGATGGGGTACAATCCTTGAGGACATCATCCGTCACGTCAGAAGGTACTTCTTTTCTTCTTAATCGAACAATTCAATGTGAAACAATTTGGTTACTGTTAATCACGTATACTCATGTGGTTCCGAGAGTTGTACACACAGGGAGGAAATTTAGTTCAGTATAGGGGATCTTATACCAAGACTCTTCCCAAACTTCTGATGAGTCTTCCCTAGATTCTAGTCATCTTCTACCACTCCTACCACCAGTCAGGCTGTAATCTTCCCGTCCTTCCGTGCGTGCGTCCGTTCGTAACAAATTTGGTTTCCGATTGATAACTTCAGTAATGTTTGACGGATTTTAATGAAATTTGATATGAAGGTACATGATATCAAAATACAGGCTATAAAGTTCGATTTCGGAGTATGTAGGTCAAAGGTCATAGCTCATTAAATATGCTTAAAAATACCCATTTGGTTTCTGATCGATAACTTTAGTAATGTTTGACAGATTTTAATGAAATTCGATATGAAGGTACATGTACATGATATCAAAATACAGGCTAAGTTCGATTTCGGATTATGTAGGTCAAAGGCCAAAGGTCATAGCTCATTAAATATGCGAAAAGATACCCATCTGGTTTCCGATCCATAACTTTAGTAATGTTTGACAGATTTTAATGAAATTTGAAATGAAGGTACATGGTATCAAAACACAGCCTAAGTTCAATTTCCGAGCAGTAGGTCAAAGGTCATAGCTCATTAAATATGCGAATCTGGTTTCTGAACCATAATTTTAGTATTGTTTGACAGATTTTAATAAAATTTGATATGAAGGTACATGGTATCAAAACACAGCCTAAGTTCGATTTCGGAGTATGTAGGTCAAAGGTCCTAGCTCATTGAATATGCAAATCTGGTTTCCATTGGATAACTTGAGTAATGTTTGACAAATTTTAATGAAATTTAATATGAGGGTACATGGTATCAAAATCCATGTACAGCCTAAGTTCAATTTCTGAGTATGTAGGTCAAAGGTGAAAGGGCATAGCTCATTAAATATGCAAAACACCTAATTATATACATGTATGTGAAAAGGTGGTTAACTTCCTTGCCTAGTAATATAATATTATAGTCAAATGGAGGTAACTTGTTCTGATGTATATCGGCCATTTGTACCCTGTGAGGGGATGCTGCTCTTTGCGTTGACTTGTTACTACCGGCGACCACACCCCTGGAATTACCACTCTAGACCCCTACTTTCAACCCATGTAAACAGAAAAAAAACATCTGCAATACAAAGATCGGTCAAACAACATAGCAATATATAGAGAGAAAGAGGGAGAAAGAAAGAGAGGTAGAGAAGGAGAATGCGAAAGAGCTAGATGGAGTGAGAGAGAGAGAGGAGAGAGAGGGAGGAGACATACCGTAATTAACGTTGTATAAACCGCCCTCGTGTATTAACCGCATCCCTCTTTTTCGCCCTAAAAAAAAAAACACACAGGAAGGCCTTTCATTTAACTGTGAGGTGCAGCTGAATGTGTATGATCATTAATGTAAATTAAAAAACAGTAGAGGACCTAGGATAGAACCTTGTTGTACGCCGTGTGTAGGAATTATTATTATAAACTACAAATTGAGATGACAGACAAATTTGAGTTTCAAACCAAGATGACAGACAAATTTGAGTGTTGTTCTAGTTTCCTAGTGGTGAGTCAACACACCGATTACTGATCTGGGAGACATTGCCAGGCATAGCGCACCCCCGACTTTGAATTTTTTTCGGCGGCAAAAAGGTGCGGTTTATACACCGTTAATTACGGTAATTTTAAGCACTTTAGGAGCTCTCGCATTGTTAAAGAATATATTTTGCATAGTGTCTGCACTTTACCAATGTACATTATAATTGTTATTTCCTTTCACAGATCTGTGCAGACCAAACAACCTTCCAGTCGGACATAAGACGCCAATCGATCCACCATCAGAACTCAGGAAACTTTTATTGAGAGACGTGAAGCAAGAAAATGGAGAATACAGAGCAAATACTGTACAGAGCATTGAGCATTCATTGCCAAATTATGGTCGTACATCAAGATCTGCTGCTATATCTCAATTTGCAAGAGTTCTTAGGAATCAGAGGGAAGAAGAAGAAGTAGCTCGCTGCTCCACTTGTTTTGCAGGATTACCCTCCAAAGCTCTCCTTTTTAAACATTTGAGAATCCATAACGATGAAAAATATCACAAATATTTTGAGAGTGAAGAGAAATTCTACCCCCATTCTCTTTTGAAGAGGCATCAAGATAAACACAGAGAAAAAGATAAACACAGAGAAAAAGATCAACATTGTTGTTCTACTTCGCGTACTCAAGCTCAAGAGCATGCCCATAAAAGAAATCTGTCTGTTCATGGATCAGTCGTGGCGGAACATCCTCGCCAGAATTCTAAGGGTAAGGAAGAGTTGTCTTCTAAATCTGATGAGGAAGGAGAAAGGCCCCCAAGAATAGAAATCCGCAATGGCAGGCCCATGTTCATATGTCCGATATGTGCGAAAGGATACACTCGTACGTATAACCTTAACAAACACAAGGTATTAAAACACACTGGTCTATATCCACATTCTTGCCCTTCCTGCGACAGAGGTTTCATTTCAGAATGTGGACTTTCAAGACATATGTCGATGCATATAGTTGGAAAGCGTTTCAAATGCCCAGAGTGCAATAAAAGATTCACACGCAAGAGAGACCTACGGCGACACCTCAAACATCACGCTGGTCTAAGGCGTTATGACTGCCCACAGTGTAATAGAGGATATTGGAAAAGAGAATATTTGGTGAGGCATATGGAGGAATACAACCACGGAAAGCGATGGCAGTGTACGACATGTGACAAGTCATACGAGTCTGAAATAGCATTTAAAGTGCATATGAACAGCCACTCTAGGGTAAAGCAGTACGACTGTTCTGTGTGCTATCAGGCATTCATGTATAAGGAGTCTCGCGATAAGCACATGAAGAAACACCAAAAACATCACAAATGTGGCGAGTGTGATGAGGAATTTCTGTATGAAAAGAATCTGGAGAAGCACAGGAGGAGACACAGTGGTTTCAAGTGTTCTGAATGTCAGAAGGAATTCATGTTTCATAACGATCTTCAGAAACACATGGAAAGACACACTGCCCCTAGGCCTCACCCATGTCCAAAGTGTGACAGAGGATTCTACTTCAAGACTAATCTGAATAAGCACGTGCGAAAACACACTGCCCCAAAGCCCTTCCAGTGCTCTTTCTGTAATAAGGGATTCAATTTCAAGCGAGATCTGAGGAGTCATACCAAGTCGGCACACCCTGAGGAAGATGATCTTCAATGTTCTGAGTGTTACAAGTCATTTACTAGCTCTACATCCATGTATACCCACATGAAAACACATTTTGACGAGAATTCTTATGCGTGTCCCAAGTGTATGAAGAAACATCCCTCTAAATTTGCCCTCTTTGTACACATGCGTAAACACGTTGGGATCGCTCGCCATAAATGCGGGCAATGCAAGAAGATGCTGTCTACCAGGCGTAAACCCGTTGGGAGTAAGCTTCCCACGTGCTCCCAGTGCGAGAAGAGGTACAGAACCAATGATGAGCTGATCCGACGTGAAAACACACGCAGCAAAGAAGAGCCTTCGGAATCGGGTGGGCGAGTTCAAGACATCCTTCCCCAGTGAACCGAAAATTAAAACTCTGTAAAATATTGCAAATTGTGTGTATGTCATTTCAAAGCTGAAACCGTAACTGTTATGATCCTTTCATTCTCCTTTTTCTTCTGGTAATCTTCAAAGGGCTATGCAGCCTATTTTTTGAAGAAATTGTGTGATTATGGAATCCTATGCTAATTATTCAAAATAAATATTAATTAGTGTGACGTACGTGATATTTTCATGTATGAAAAGGCAGATGAAAATAAGAAATGCATGTTGAATGTTATAATTGATCAATTGCAAAATAACTACTTTCTTTTGATTACTACAAAAAATTTCTTGATGAGACATTTGTTTGCTGTGTGCGAGACATGTACACCCATTAATAGTATTTCCACCAAGTCTGGTGTCAGCGAATTATGACCTACTACACATGGAAACTGACGACCTTTAAGTTCTTAGTGGATGAAATGTGCTGCCACAGTAGATATAAACTTTAACTAATTTGACTTTAGTAGTAATGTATTTATAATACTTGTTCTTATTATAGTTAGACGTGTACATACATAGCATGTATACTGCAGAAAAAGTAATTGCCTGAGAATATAATCTGATTGACAACATAACTTTCTAAGTGATTGTGTTAATAAAATTAAACCTTGCAGATTTATAAGAAGGGATACAAAGTTGTTAATGTACATGTACAGGTATACATATATTCAACTCTGATAATACAAATGTATACAACCCTTTTCAAATCATTGAAATTCAACTTTTACTCTTATTCATATTTAATTAGAGTCATTTTTTCTCCCTACAATTCCAAACCATTTATATATATGTATTATGAATAAATATTCATATTCTGTTTTTAATTAATTTTAGTTCCATATTAAATGACTTATTATATGTACATACTGTAAGTACACTTTTTATTGATATTTCGTTCATCAATTAGTATATATTTTCTCTGTATGCCTTATTATTTTCAATGTTAACTCACTGGACTGTATGATATGTTACAGGACCACAATGCAAAACAGCCATGTGTTGATTATATTGTCTTGTTGAAATATGTTATTATAAATGAATAGTTTAAGAAATAATGTTTTGCAGTTGTTAAGAATTTAAATAATAATAATTCCTCTTGGTGATCAAACATGTGAAGTGTAGAGGCTGACAAGATATTCATATAAAAAACTTCAATCTGAAATGATTGATGTATTATTATTATTATTTCATTATTATAGTGTTGTTGTTGTTGTTTTTTTTTGTTTTTTGTTTTGGGGGGGGGGGGGGTTGTTGTTTACATTTTATAGCTGGGGCTCTCATTTGAAATTATGTTGTTCAATTATTTTGTCCATGGAGGATAATTGTTCATATTTACATTTACAATCTTGCTTCACAGTAATTTCACAAGTACAACATATAATTGACAGTAACTAAATACATGTGAATTGTATTTTTTTCTTCACAATAAACACACAGTTCATGTTTGTCTGAAATCTGTTCAACCTCGCTTCTGATTTAGTCTCAAGGCCCTGTTTTGAGTATACACTCAATATACATGATCATGATAAATATACTTTTTACTTTCTTTCTTCTTTTTCTTCTTTTTTTTTTCTTCTTCTTTTTCTTCTTCTTCTTCTTCTTCTTCTTCTTCTTCCTCTCTCTCTCTTCTTATATACCCTCCATTTTCTTTTATTCTTATATTCTCTAATCTGAAGTAGGTATTTTAACTTTTTCTAATTATTCCTTGATATGGTAAAACAGTAAGGGGTACAACAGTATAACTAAGTACGGTATACTAAAAAATCACGTTCGTGTAACATGTCTACAAGGTATTTTACCGGTACATAGTTTTCACATTCTCTACCGTTCTTGTCTTCGTTTAGAACTCTTCTCTCTACTGGATTTCATTAATAACTCTTATGGAAAGTAGAATGAATGAATTAATTTGGCGACTAGTTCTTGCTTTTACAGATCTCAATCTTCGTCCGCTTCTCGGGTGTATGTACTGGTCATTAAGGGGGTGGGTTGGATCAGACATAATGGATAGGGCCTTAGATACTACTCTTTCCTCACAGACTTCATCTATCTATCTTCATCTTTTCATATTCATATTCATATTCATATTCATATTTATTTCATTTCCAACAGAAAGGTAAACAAAGATATTACATTTGATTTCATACATAATTCATTTTTTCAAGAAACTATACAAATACACTTTGCACATAATAAAATTATCTTCAGCAGTATGGTTCATTATTTTGCTGGCTTGTTTTACAATTCTTCTCAGCTTTTGTTTGTCTCTTCGCTTTGCATTATTAAACCAGATAATGTAATCAAATGTGATAGTACTCTGAATGATCGACTGGTAAAAGAGAAACATAATTCTATTGTTCACATGAAAGTACTTTAACTTTCTAAGAAAATACATACGCTGGTTGCATTTTGTTAGAGTGTACTTTGACTTGTCTTCCCAAGACAGCTTTTGTCGATTTATGTGCCTATGTATATATACAACTTTCAACCTTCTCAATGATATCATCATTTAAGTATGCAGGTCTGTCAATGGGTTGAACAAAAACATTTCTTTTGCCTTACGTCAACAACGATTTGAGCAGTAAATGGGTGTTCCCTACACCAATTTTCGAACATGGAAATGGAAGCTCTGTAATCAAATTCATTTTCATTTTCGATCAATCCTATTACTGTATCATCTGCATATTTAATTATAGGAACAGATGGTGTATTTGACATAGAGTCATTGGTGTAAAGGGTAAACAGGGTCGTAGAGAGGACACACCCTTGTGGGGGTACCAATTGTTGTAATAAGTTCGTCAGAGAGAACACCGTTGACTTTGACCTTCTGTGTCCTTTCATGGAGGAGGTCTTTGCAGCCACAATAGAGATAGCCTTTGGACAAGGCCTCGCGCGCTGCTTGTCTGCCGAACAGGGTCTGAAATTAGACTAACGCAGTGTGGCTTTACACAGTGATCGCTGGACCGAGCCGCTTCATGCTGACGCACCTCGTCCCACGGGTCACAGTCGTCGCGCGATTAGTTTATGTATTCAGGCGCGTTTAGGGAAATAACAGCACGAGTGCCTTGACTAAAGGCTACACTAGAGAGGGCTGAACTTTTAGATGTTGAAGTTTCTGTAGTAGGATAAGGGGTTCTATAGTGTTAAATGCCGATGAGAAGACAATGCAAGTTGCTCTGGCATAAACACCTTATCTAAGTGTTCGTACAGCATGTTTGTCAAGGTGAGAACTGCGTCAGTTCCGGAATGCTTCGCTATTTATATACAAACTGGTTAACATCAAATAGTGGGAGAACTGAGCTTGTCAGCATTGCAAGTACCAGTCATTCCAGGCTTTTCAAAACAACTGATGTCAGCGCGATAGGGCGAAAATCCCCCTTTGCGTTGGGGCGATTGTTCTTGTCATATTGTCATACCGTCGTAATATATTATTTTGGCGGTTTGAGTGTGAGAGAGACAGAGAAAGGAAGAAAGAGGGAGCAGACGGAAAGAATGAGAGAGGGAGAGAAGAGAGAGCGATGAAAGAGTGAGGGACAGAGAGATGGAAAAGAGCGAGACCGATGCATTAAGAATGGGAGAGAGATCGAGAGAGAAAGAGGAAGTTTTAACAATATGCCATTAAAGGGCCGGGCACTTCAATACTAGCAAATCCAGGCGCGGATCCAGGATTTCTTAGGGGGGGGGGGGGGGCCCAAATTAGAAATTATGCGAGCCAAATATTGATACGTAATGGTGACCAACAGTGACGAGATGCGGGGGGGGGGGGGGCGGTGCAGGGAGGGGCGAATTTCCCCCTCCCTCCTCCGCGAAACGCGGAAGCTTTGACGTTTCATTTCATTATTAGGAAAAGAAGACGGCGCGTTGTACGGTTCTCGAAAATAAATCTCGTCTGAATTTAGTTTTTCCCCTCTCGCGCGAAGCGCGGAAAATTTTAGGATTTATTAAATCATTAGAGAAAGAAGACGATTCGTTGTAGAGTTCTCGACTCTAAATTCTCGTCTGAATTCAGGTCCCACCCCCTCCCTACCGCGCGAAGCGCGGAAGCTTTTAAGTTTCCTTAAATCATTAGAGAAAAAAGACGATTCGTTGTACCGTTTTCGAAAATAATCCTCGTCTGAATTTAGATTCTCCCCCCCCCTCCCCCCTCCGCGCGAAGCGCGGAAGCTTTTACGTTTCATTAAATCATTAGAGAAACAAAACGATTCGTTGTACAGTTCTCGACTCTTAATCCTCGTCTGAATTCAGTTTCCCCCCTCCCCCCTACGCGCGAAGCGCGGAAGCTTTTACGTTTCATTAAATCATTAGAGAAAGAAGACAATTCGCTGTACAGTTCTCGACTCTTAATCCTCGTCTGAATTCAGACCCCTATCGCGCGAAGCGCGAAAGCTTTTAAGTTTCATAAGATTTTGAGAGAAAGAAGACGATTGGCTGAACAGTTCTCGACTCTTAATCCTCGTCTGAATTCAGGATCCCCCCCCCTCCCGCGCGAAGCGCGGAAGCTTTTAAGTTTCCGTAAATCATTAGAAAAAAAAGACGATTCGTTGTACCGTTTTCGAAAATAATCCTCGTCTGAATTTAGATTCTCCCCCCTCCCGCGCGAAGCGCGGAAGCTTTTGCGTTTCATTAAATCATTACAGAAACAAGACAATTCTTTGTACAGTTTTCGACTCTTAATCCTCGTCTGAATTTAGTTTACCCCCTCCCCCTCCTGCGCGAAGCGCGGAAGCTTTGACGTTTCATTAAACTATTGAAGAAAGAAGGTGATTCGTTGTACCGTTCTCGACTCTTAATCCTCGTCCGAATTCAGGCCCCCCCCCCCCCTCCCGCGCGAAGCGCTGAAGCTTTAAAGTTTCATAAGATTATGAGAGAAAAAAGACGATTTGCTATTCAGTTCTCGACTCTTAATCCTCGTCTGAATTCAGGTTCATTTTCATAAAATCATTAGAGAAAGAAGACGATTCGTTGTACCGCTCTCGAAAATAATCCTCGTCGGAATTAAGTTTCCCCCCCCCCCCTCCATCCCGCGCAAAGCGCGGAAGCTTTTACGTTTTATTAAATCATAAATGATTGGTATTACCGTTCTCGCCTCTGAATCCTCGTCTGAATTCAGGTTCCCCCTCCTGCGCAAGGCGCGGAAGCTTCACGTTTCATAAGATTATGAGAGAAAGAAGACATGATTCGCTGTACCGTTCTCGATTGTTAATCCTTGTCTGGGGCGGCGGCGAAGCCGGCCCCTGAAGCTCAGAGGTTTTAGGCGTTTAATTAAGGTCATTATGAGCATTTTTTTTGTATACCTTATTATTTCGTGACACTGGCAGGTAACTATTTGGCGTTGGGTCCAGGGGGCGGAGCCCCCCCCCCAAAAAAAAAAAAAAAAAAATCAGGGGTTTTAGACATTAAATTACCGTCAGATGAGCATCTAAGGGCCCGCCGTAGGGCCCTTGGTGGGATCCAAGGGGCAGAACCCACGGAAGCTTAGGGGTTTTAGGCATTTAATCACGGTCAGATGAGCACATTTTGATGCCTTATTATTTGTTAACACTGGCAGTTAACTATTCTTTCTTTCTTGCTCTCATTCTATTTTGTTTCTCTTTAATATACTTTTTCAAAAAAAGTGTGGGGGGGGGGGGGGAGAGCTCGAGGCTCCCGATCCCCGCCGTACCTCGGGCCCTGACATGTAGGAATCTCGAGAATCATATTTCTTGCCTGGCTGCAAATTTAGGAATTTGTCATTTTCCAACAAACACATACAAACGTATAATTTACTAAAAAGTGAGAACAAATCTCGGAAATGATGTCATTTCAGCATTATTTGTAATCCACCGTTCTGGAATTAGAAATAAACCACGTTTGAATTTGATTTCCACTAAGGCCCCCCCCCCCTATCAGTACGCCAGTATCTCCTCTTTTCCTTTCCTTTCCCTTTCCTTCCTTCTCTCTTATTTGTTTTATGGAAGGGGGGGGGGGGGTCAGCAGCCTGGGAGGCAAAGCCCTTTTGGCCCCCCGATCTCCTTCTTCCCCCTTTTCTTTTCTTCTTCCTCTTCTTTCTTTCCCTTTCTCTCCTCTTTCCCTTTCGCTTCTTTTCCTTTTTTCTCTTTT